AACAAAGAAAAAGCAAACACTGTTTTTGATACCTAGCACCAATCAAGCATCACTGTAGGCTTCTCTTAGATGAAAATTTAACCTAATAATGTGATCAGATCTGTTTCTTTCAGGAACTATAGATTTGACATTTTATAATAGGAAGTCAATAGTTGAAAAACGAATAGATATCTCAATCTGGTGCATCGTATTTCTTGTTTTACAAATGAACCACCCGATCCACATCACTTCTTTGTCTCCGCTTTGATATTTTGGGATTGTAAACAATTAACAGATATATATGCCAATCTGGATCAAAATCACAAAAATTTGAAAAGAATGGTAATTTTTATTTGTTTTCGTATATGATGGATTTTCTTATAGAATTTGGTAGGAAGGTTCAGGTGCGCGTCCCTTTCACGTCCTGTCAGTCTTCGGTCAGCGCCACGATAATTGTCTTAAGAGGAATAATCCTCTGCTTCTCCCCTTACTCTATTGTAAAATACATTTATCGTTTTATTTGATCGTTTTATGCTTTATTGTTATGCTTGCTCGTGGGTGATCAATGAAAAATCGGATCTACTATTTTCATCTCCTATCGTATCTCTTTTTGGACTTTATCACCCTTTAGAATATTAGAGTCTCTCAATTTGTGGAGCTTTTGTCTCCAAAAAAAATTATGTCTACCGAGGGTTTCAGTCTACCATTATTTCAAACTTTTATTTTCGTTTTATGTTACTCTTTGGTTAAGCGTCGATCACTATTTTATAAATCTTTCAAAGACACAGTTACACAGAGCAAATATTATGTTTGTGTCCGTGTTTTGTTTGAGATTTTACCTTATTTAAGAAAATCGAAAATTCTGAATCAGCTACGTTACGTACGTATTGTTTTGATCTTGAGCGAATTCAAAAAGAGGAAATATTTTCGTCAACCGCTCATATATGAGAAGGAAAAATGACTTTTCAATCGCACAGTAAATAAGAATAGAAAGACCAAATGATGAACCAGAGTACATGTTCCAAAGGGATCAAAGGCTAATTTAGGTGTGATTTGGAAAACAATCAATGAATTGTCTATGGAGTGGGAATCTTGGAGTGCAACTAAAGAGATATCTCTAATTGTTCGAATTGTCACAGTTGATGATTGTCGATAATCTTATTTCGCTAATGGATTGAAGGATCTTTTAATGTCAGAATCAGTGCCTTTCTTGATTTCTGTAGAGTTACAAGCAACATTTTTTTTGCTCAATATCTTAATAATTTATCAATAAATGAAAAAAAAAAACATTTTAGGAATCAATTTTCTTACGTAAATGTTAAAGGATATGCAGTTTCTACCAGATTTAGTGTAGTTTTAAAGTAAAAATTGACGGCTTAAATTAATAAACTTTCTAGAAACAGTAAGCATATGTTGAACCCCATATGTTTCCTCTGTTTTCATTCAGTATTGCCTATAATTTTGGTGTGATAATATTCGTCTCTTTTTAAGGTTTTTTTTTATGTTTGTAGTTTTTAAGATTTTTTTATATCTCAATAATACTCTCATGATCAGTGGTGGAGGTACTTGGAGACTGGAGTGGTCAATTGACCCATGTCAAATTTTCAAAATTAAAATTTAAGCTTACTAATGTAATGTTATTTCTGAAAGAATTTGTTAAAAATTATTTGATTGACCCTTCCTAATTTTATGTTGGATGTAAAAAAATTTCTGGCTCCGCCCTGCTCATGATTAAAACATAAAGAAATGTAAAATATCAAACCGAGGGGGAAAAAACACTCGAAAGGGAAACAATTGAAACCGAGTAAATTACAAGCCGACACCGTGAAGTAGACGACGTGCACAGAGAGCGTGCCACGTGGGTAACACCTTAATCCATCTCTGACCGTTAGATTTTTTTCTTTCTAACCAATCCACGTCACTATCACAATCGCCGTTGGTTCCACGTAATCACAATGTTTAATGTACTTAGTTATTTAATTGTTCGATGGTCTCAGATAAAGAGTTAACAGTTTTGGCCATTCATCGATTGTAGTTTGTAACGTCTGACCAGAAATAGTCGTTTTGTAAAAAAAGCTTGACTAGAAATTCAAACTAATTATTTATTTATTAGTGCATTCAAATCGTAACGGCAAAATTTCCAAAGTTAATTCTGGCAATTGATTGACAAATGGTAAAACTGAAAATAAATAAACAACGAAAAAATCTATTGCATGTTAGATAACTTATTAGGCGAGTTATTTAAACTAATTAAAACACCAACACCATTTCATATTTCATATTTAATGTTTATATGGTTTGTTGATAAATTTTTTATAAGGTACGTGAAATTTAGGATATCCATACCTTTGGATCTAAGTATGCATGCAAATATTGTGAATGTATAAACTATAAGACAATGTCACTTCTCATTTTATATATATTTTGCAGTAAATAGAAAACAAATCGTGCATCACTATTCTATTGACAAGTCACATGTAAGTACACAAAACACACAATCATTTATTTATATTACATTAATGTATGTAAAGCAGGTAAAGTGGCCATGAATCAAATAACTCGTTATACAAATTACGGTGTTTTAATGAGCATTCTCATTGTTTAGCCAAAAAGGTCCTCCGAGGCTCAAATGCTGTTTTCTTCTCAAGTAGTATTTATTTTCTATCATGATTAACCTTAAATTTGTATAAAGACTTGCAAAAGCATGCATCATCATTCATCAATCTCGTATTCTAATTTTCTCAAAACAAAAAGAAGAATCTAGGACCATTTAAGTGATGCACGATTAAGCTGGCCAGTTTTTTTTTTTATGAGAAAATTAAAATACGATATTGACTTAAGGCCATATGTAGATGCTTTAGCTTTCACCGGGGGAAAAAGGAAGTTGTATCCAATTTGGAAAAGTAGAGAAGAACAATTTACAGAGAAGGTCCCATTGGCCCATTTCTTTCTTCATCGAATTTCCAAAAATATCATCTTTATTTATTTAGTTTTAGTCCTTTTCAATTTTCTTCTACAAACATCTTTTACACACTTAATAAAATTGAATAATTCATGCAAGCATATTTTGTTAAAAGTTTAATCTAATGGATATTCAAGTTTGAGTGGGTATATTATTTTCGGATTGATATATAGGGACTATAAAATCAAAAAGGACATAAGAAATGCTATGATCTAGCACCTAACCCAACAAGGCGAACGCTATCTTGTTCGATTTCACGACGTTTTCGTAAGTCTATTAAATTGGCTTGTGTTGCTTTCACAACTAAACCTATCAACCTATTAATTTCTATCTTTTAATTAGCTTTTAATTTTTCTGATGGTGCAGGTTTAACCAAAAACGGCAAGCATTATTTGATTGTTTACCGAATAATTGTGCTAAACCTTAAATCATTTTTCCACTGAATCAACAAACAATTATAATTTAGATGTAAACTATAGTTAACGAAAGCCATAGAGATATATAAACCTCGACATCACCTATAATACAAAAATTATGCTGGAGTTAAAAAAGCTCTGAAACTAAGATTTATTACCGATCGAACCCATCGTATTTTCGGCAATTTATATCGATTTACAGTCTTTAAGTTTTCAAATGTTACAAAAAATTTGATATCTTTATTTATATGTTTTTCGTAAATTCCTCCAAATAATTTAAGATATTTCCACCTGTAGATATATATATGAATATAACATCAGCTTATAACAAAAAAAAACCTTTTTCTAGAATAAAGATATCTATATTTAGTTTGCCCACAGGAAAGAGATTTTTTTTTTGTTCTACACAAGGAAAATACTTTAAGAGGCGTACAAGACGAGAACGTACATGTTCACAAAAATTATAATTTAGTTTGGAAGATAATAGAAAGATGCAAATGAAATTGACACTCCGAAAGAAAATATTTTTGATAGAGCAATCAAATATATGTAGGTATGGAAATATAAAAGCCACGTCATTTGACTGTTGAGCAACTTTGTTTTCCCCTTGTTACTTTTTGTTTTTGTCCCATTTGCCTTACGGTAAGTCGTTTTCATTCGATAGCTTATGAATCTGTTCTTATTAATAAGTTAGATAATCAAGTTGTGAGATTTATTTTTTAAAAACTACAAAACCCACACGGCCACACACCCATTCATAAACTACAGTGACGTACTCGATAATCTTGCAAATCACACTATTCTACGAATCTTAGTTTTAAGTTAACGGTGAAAGTTGCAATAAAAAAATTTCTAAAAAAAAAGTTGCAATAAAAAATGTTCTAAAAAAGAAAAGTTGCAATAAAATTGTTTACATAGTTGAAGACAGTGATATTCAAGAATGGTAAAACCGTAATATTGCTGTTACTTAAACGGATTAAATATTTCGATATAAAAATGGGACAATTTTCAAGATAATATTATAAAATTGCTTCATACCTTTAAAAAAACAAAAAGCTTACCAAGGCACCGAATGAATTTGAAACTACGTACATCAAAAACTCATTCCACCTATGTTTTACTTTTTATGCCTACGTATTCTACATGGGCTGACTTTAAAAGCCTAATATATATTTTTTTGGTCCAAAAATTTAACCTAATATATAAAGCCCATTATTACTCAAAAATCAAAAACATTCTCTTGATATAAAATGTGGGTATTTAAGTTTGGGCTATTAAATAGCTAAACAAATAACCTGTTCTCATAGATTAAAAAAAACAACAAACCAACCTATTAAACCCATCGTGGAATAACAAACATGATTAAATTATAGACCTAGAAAGTTTATACGTTTAAAGTCTTAAAGATTTTCACTTAGCACTATAACATTAGCATATTTATTAATACCAAAAAGAAAGTCTTGTCTTTATTTTTTATTTTTTTCTGTGGCTGTCAAGACTGACCTAAGACAGTTTTGCTATAAATTCGCCAGTTTATTAAAACAAAATTTAGATACCTTCAATGTAATATCTAAAAAAACTTTACATATACTAATACCACCATACAATAGTCATATGCACACATGTTAGTTTTAGAATGGACAAATGAAATTTGTGGGATGAGGATTTTTCATCAAATTCGTAGACATATATATAACCAGCAAAACAAATAAGAGTAAGTAGTAACCAAGTAGTGTCACAATGCAACAACCTCTTTTCTTTCTTACATCTACAAATGACTAACCATCATTTTTTTTTTGCACATTTATGCATAGCCCGCCATACCGATATTTGAACTAGAGCGGTTTACTTTGTGAGCAGGCGGCGAAGAGACAGACTTGGTAAAGTAAATGTAGTAGTAGACATTGAGGATCATAGTTGCAACCACAAACACTGCTCCTGCGATGAATATCCCTTTGCGCAATGACTCACACGAGAAGGTTTGTGCGCTTAAGTATTTAGTGTGGTATGCGTTCTTCGTCGCTCCTGCGATCAAGCAAGCTTCAGCTACCAGAAATGTCATCCTGCAATTGTCAAATTCGGACATTGAAAAAACCAAACAGGTTTAGAGACAGGCATACTAATCTTGAAGATATCATATGGACAAAGATATTATCAGCAAAAGGCTTTTTAGGACTCACCAGGAAGAAATGAAATAGATGATAGACCAAGCACGGTCACTTCCAGGGGCTAAAGGTCTACCAAAGCACATACATTTGGTGACACCCATGAGCAATGATTCACTCGAGAGGAGGAAAAGGAAAGCTCCAACTCCATAACCAGTTGCTACATCTGAGCTATAAACGCAGTACGTTGCGTTTGTTATTGGGTCTTGGATATTTTTTCCCTGTCACACAAAAAAAAAAAAAGAGACGATAGAACCTTAAGTGTCACAGATTAAACTCCTTTAGTTACATAGTTATGTTTCTCCAGTCTCAGCTTCAAAAACATGAACATGGCTCTCAAAACGGTTCTTTAATAGTGTCAATATTCCCCAAATTTCCACGGAAATCGCAAAAGAGATATTACTGATTCTGAACGAACTCTCTAAGAGTTCATGAGATTAAAAATCAGAGGAAATTCCAACAGAAATCTACGAACTTTTCGATGAATTGCAAGAACTAGCTTTAGTTAAGAAACAAATCCAGAAATAGAAATCCTCGAGCGAAAGCGTTTAGCAGCATCATCATCCTATCGATTCTTCTTTCGAAAGTCCAGATATTTCGTTTAGAGGAATCAAACTAGTAGAGAGCAAAAACCCTAGCGGGAGAGAAAGAAACATAAGTGGACAGAGAGGAGAGGGGGTTTACGATGCTCCGGCGGCGCTCGGCGGCGATGGAGAAACCGAAGGAGATTAAACAGAGTGCGACGACGAGGACGAAAACGAGAGTCGAGCCTTTCCCTTCTCCCATATCTCCGGCGAGAGAGAGAGAGACAGAGATTTTTGCAGAGACGGCGAAGTGAGTGAGACTGAGCTGGAAACAAGTAAGTAAAGTGAAAAGAAAACACGAGAAGCGAGTCTCGTCGAAACTATGAATACGCGCGAACCAGCGCGTGTCTCTCACGTTAAGCCACAGTTTGTACAAAAGCTTCACGCCAAGTATTACGCGCGTGGTAATATTTTTGAATTTGGTGAAAGTAAAAAAGGTGAGGTTCACCCAGATAAAGGTAACTTTTATTTAAGAGCTGGGCTTAATGAGATATATAGCCCAAATATGGAATTTTAAGTTAAAGGTAGGCCCGATAGATTTGTTTATTGATGCTAGGCTAAATTTATTTTACGTTAATGTGAGAAGAAAATGACGACAAGTGTGTTTTCTTTTTTCCTTTTCCTAAAAATCTAAATCCACTGTTATTGTTACTTTTTAATTTTTAACAAAGATTTGGAATGATATATCATATATACTCTTCTCCTTTTTTCCTTTCCAGGATATGAATCACCCACATTCGATCTTTTGTATTTTAAATTTGTCAATAGAAACTTTTCAATTATGCTTTTTACAAAATTATGTTTTTTTTTTGTCCACTGCAGGTGAATGTCATAAAATTGATTTTCAGTTGTTTATTTTCTTTGTTTTCCTTCACTAGGTTAATAAAGCATGCGAGATTTCCGGCCACAAAGTTTGACGATTCTTTTGGTTTGATTGACAAACTAAAAGCAAAACAAAAGAAATCAATATAGTTTGATTTTTCTCCAAGTTATAAGCAAAGAATCGAAATAGATCCGCAGACAAAGAAATAATGACTTGTCCTCATGTCACCCTTTCCTGGTTTAATAAATTTTAGTGAACAATTATTTGAAGCAAATTATATAAGTAACTGGCATATGCAGTTGAAATATAACAAGAGCTGTACTGTGGGTTGGTCAGGTTCGGGTTCAGAAAATTTCTTCTGACCCATAGGAGTATGGTGCTCGCCTGGTGAAGGCTCTTGGATATGTCTTAGATAATGTTTTGGCGGAGCTAAGTTTTTGTGTTACTTAAATTAATGTAATATAATTAGAAGTTTAGGACTATAAAAAAAACAGAAAAGTTGTTATCATTTAGACAGGAAAACAAAACGAGACAACTTATCACAAACAATATCATCTAATGGAGATAAATCAATTTGATTAGTTTACTGCGGATGCATTATTCAATTTACGGGTAGTGCATGAAACGAATTACATGTTTGAGTTGGGTACATGTACTCCAAATTTTTGGATTTTCGATCCATGTTCATCCTTCAGTTGTATTATGGAGCTTATAACACAACCATTAATAATGTTTGTCACAAAACAAGAGCTAATGATCAAGTTAAAGAAAAAAAGAACATTAATTGGCTAATTAGAAATTTCAATCCCTTTAAAAATTACATCTGTACAATAGAGAGAACAGAAAAAAAAAGGGTAGAAATGATATCTTCACATTTCACAACTCTTTCGAGCCTTTCCTTTTGTTACAAATAAGGAAGAAATACTACGCTCTTATTTTCACTAATAAAAGACATCAAAACACTCACAAAACCCTTCTCTCTCTCTCTCTCTCTCTCCCTTTTTACTTACAAAAATTCCCAAATTGGACACCCAAAAACCTAGGTTTATAAAACAGCCATTTTTTAAATCCCCCATTTTACAACATATCTACACATTTTCACCAAAAAAGCCCCACCATGATCCATTTTCCTAATCCATTTTTTTTTCAAATTGTTTTTAGCCATCTCTGTTATATATATTTGCATTTTATCTCTTATGCAAGAGTTGGAACGCTGCTGCGTCTGTCCCTGTCAAGGCAATTGAATCCGACGACTCGAACCGGAGGATTGTTCCTCGCCGCCCTAACGCAACCGCCACCGTTCCTCGGAGAAGACGGCGGTGGCGGCTTGGTCGCACGTGGAGCCGACGGAGGAGTAGCCACCACGAGAAGCTCGTCCCGAAAGAGTGAATCTTTTGTTAAAGGGTTAGAAACTCTACTTGGCGGTGACCCTGTGAAGAACAGTGGCGGCGATGACGTCACCTTCCTCGTCGGATCTTGCTCACATTCACCACCACCCTGTAAAATATGCAACAAGAAATCAATCAAATCTCACATAACATAACAAAAAAGCAAAGATCTTTGAAGCAGAGGATTATAAATTGATTTTTACCTTTGCGAGGATAAAATCCAAAATCTCGCTTCCTGAATTCGATTCACAGAACTCCATCTGGTGACTGAAAATATCAAAAACAGAACCTTTCAATAAATTTGGTGGCTTCAAATATTTTCAAGACATAATCAAGAAAATGATTTTAGATCTTTTTACCTGACTTGCCATCGGAGAGATCGAGCAAGGTGGTGACTGTGGACACCGACACGACGCGGTTTAGGGCAAAGGACGGTGTCTCTGCGATCGGAGACGACGGAGCTTCTCTTCATCTCAGCGTTTTGTTGGACTCCGCAGCTGTTCATCTTCTTCTTTCTTGTATTTTCCTGCTTAAAGAATCAAGACGAATGAAAATTCCTCTTCAGGAGATTTTGATGGAGGCAAAAATGTTTAATAGCGATTTTAATATATATAAAAAAAGATAAGGAAGAGAAGAGGTGGTCAAACGGTAACGTGTTTCTTATGGAGATCTGGTCACAATTGCGTATTTTTAATTAATTAGGAATTTTATTCATTAATAAATCTTAGATTAAGGCAACGAAATGTGCCACTTGACAGATTCAACGAACTGTTTTTTTGGGAGATTTATTAATTTAATAAAGTCTGTGTTCCCTGTAATTATATTATTACTATAGTGATGCTGTCAAGATCATTGTGGAGACAAGGATCTGTTTTTTTTTTCTTTACTTTTTTAAGACAATAAGTAAACTAACCAAAAAAAAAAAGTCATAAGAAATAAAGTCCAACTCAAACAGTGAGAAATTAATTAATCTAATAGATTTGAAATTAGAAGATAAACAGATCGAGAAGAACGAAAACAGAGTTTTGATGAAACTGAAATTGATGATGCTTTTCGATAAAACACAAAGGATCTCTAATTAGATAAAGGATTGTTTCAGATCCAAATACGATAATCAAAAAACACAACGACGAACAAAATTCATAAGGATATTAAGCGGAAAAACGCATGAATCGTGCAGATCCAGATCAAAACAATTAGATCCGAGACAATAAACACCTAAGCATTCAAACGAATCGAGAGAGAGAGATACCTGAAGGTGGAAGAGAAGAGATCGTTAAGCTTGAGCTCAGCGAGTGGAGAAGAAGAATAAGATTAAGAGAGAAAGAGATCTGAAGAAAAGTCTAATGGCTCTTAGGTTAACAGCAAAAGGCAGAGAAAATGAGAGAACCTGCAGACAACAATGCAATGGAATCCGTATTTATTTATTTTATTCATTTATTTTGCATAGATTCTTTTGATTATTTCTTTTTGCGTCATAATAGCAAAACGCCTATTTTGTTCAATCTTTGTTTAGTGCTAATTAAGTTTTACTAATTAAACACATTTCATTAATCCGTTTGAAAATTTGGTGTTGAGTACAGCTTTCAGTTTCATTTGTTTCGGAATTGCCTTTTTTTGGTACAGACGGTGCCTAACCTGTCCTCGTAAATATCTATCCCAAATAAATGTCACCGACGAAATAACAATTTTTAATTCACTATGAAATCTCATTACTTATCACTTATCAGTAATCACTAATCACAAATATCTTCTTTGGGAAATTTTTTTTATTACTGATCTTGCTCATGAACACGTTTTGAAAACTAGCTAGCAATAGTTAGTAGTTCATTAGTATTAGCAAATATGAATTTATTTTTTGCTAATATTTTTTTACATACATAAAACTATAAAAGATGGATTTCATTTTTCAGTTTCATCTATAAATAACATAAATCCAATTTTTTTCTTCAAGTAGTTTAAAAGCAATATCTCACATTTGTTTGTTTATTGAAATACTATAAATTAGAGGTAGTTTATTATACAAATGTATGATTTATTTTCAGTACTTTTGATTTTAAGAAACATATTATTATCACAAATAACAAAATACTAGATTTACTCATTATTTCTTTTTTTTTTGTTAAAGGGTACACTCGTTATTTCGATGCGAACACAAAACTGAAATGTTATTTTATGTAAAACTAAGTTGAAACAAGCAATTTCATCTCATGTATATTGATCACATATAATACATATTATAATTATAGAAATAATGCAATTTCATTAGTATTCTATGATGATATGTATTATGTAGGGTATATTACCTGAAATACGAGCATTGAAGCTAATTTAATGTTTTTGTTGTAGTATACTACCCTACAATTTTTGGATGTCCATTTCGTGTCTAACCTTAAAGTTACAATATAGTTGCGTATAACACGAATTATTAAATGAAACCCAATTAACAAACACAATTTTGGAAAAAATAATAACTAGATTTTTTAGGTTAATAATAATGACGACGGTGGGAAATGACAAAATTAGACACAGTTGGAAAGAAAAACAAGCCAGTTCTGGAAGTTGTTTATACTGAAGCTGAAGCCAAACAACTTAACTAATACAATTTTTGGGGAAAAAAACGAAAGTAGCAATTACTATATTAGTGATCATGGCGGTATGAAGTGACAAAGTCCCTCATAGTTTGGAGGGTAAAACAAAACTTATATTAGTAAGACCTATTTGGAGGAGATGGGCGCTTACTAAAAAGAAAAACTTATATAACGAAAACGGGCCACATGTGCTGAAGCATCAGTATCAATCAATATTAGATAATAAGAATTAAATACATAGAGAAACATGTAACTAAACATTCTCTTTTGCACGAACTCATCTCATCTAGTCACTAAAAACACCCAACCATTCTTACATGCCCGTTATGCGGGAGGCGTGTTAAGAAACGGGTTGTCGTAAAATCTGCTCGATGTTTCATGGGCTCGAAGCTAATTAAGAAGCTGTTCTCGCGAGAATTGGGGTCCAAAGGCAAAGCCATCAGGTGCTTGTTTGAATACTGATAAACTCCACAGCTTACACTAATAGCAATATCTATACACATAGGTAGTTATACATATGTTTACTCTAAAATTCGAATGAACATTAAAATCGATTTTCACCTTTCTCAAGGATTTTTTTTTTTTTTTAATATAGAAATCCGAGTTTAAACAGGTTTTTGTTTATAAATCGATAATCTGGTCTAACCCCATAAGAAGATGATCGCTAAAGTAGTACAAATTTCATATGCAATGCATATTTTAATTCATTCACATGTGATTCATTTAGAATATCAATTTGCAACAAAAGAAAATCATTATGACGGACTCGTTAAAATTTGAAGATTGGTCAATCAATTTTTTTTTTTAAAGAAAGTTAGAAACAACATAGAATATATAAAAATAAATATATAGTAGTATAAATGAAAATTCAATTGGATATAATATCACACATAATTAGTAACAATATGGGTTTTTTTTTCTTTCCGAATTGAACAATATGGAATTTACATTGGACTTCTTGTTATATATATATATGCATATATACGAGTATGACCACTATATATACGTACTATGGGATGCCTTGACCCATAATGTCCCCTCAAGCTATAGTCCTCTTGCTTAATAGTCACAAAGCCATCCACTTTGAGTTCCATGCTCAATTTTCTCATTTCTAGAGAGAGAATAAAGAGAGAGATAAACTGATAATAGGAGATCTCACAAAGCTTCTCTTTATCTCCATTCTTCACGCTCTCAAGTCTTTATCACTATAGCTTCTTCTCGGTACTCATGTAGGTTTCTCTCTCCTTTCTTCTCTTTCTGTCTCTATCTCTCTTGCTAAATCTATAATTGATTTTCTGAAATGTTATTATTCTGCAGGAGAGCTGAAGATAATAACACGTTAGATCTCAATAACTTACCTGATGATACTTCTAAAGACTTCTTCCCGTTCTTTGAAGAAGGCTCCTCTTCCTCTTCTTATTCTGGTACATATATACTACTTTAGCTTATTCTACCCTCCCTTTTCTCTTATCTATTTGAACTATTACATTTTGTAAGTAATGAAGTTAATCTCTACCTTCTGCCTTAGATGGTTATTTTGGTCAAATTAAACCATAATAATTTTATCCAAAATAGTTTTGATCTAATCATTAGGTGTATATTTTATTATTTATTTACTACTGAGTAGGAGGGTTTAGAGAGAAACAAAGCAAAGATGGAAAAGAGTATGAATGTAGATTTTGTTCACTCAAGTTCTTCAAATCTCAAGCTCTCGGTGGCCACATGAACCGCCACCGTCAAGGCAAGATCCCATTATTCTATATATCATGTGTATATTGTATATATAATCAATAATTTTGGTAATTTATTGATTTTGGGATAGTGATTTTAGAGAGGGAGACGGAGTCACTAATCAAAGCTCGTGAACTTGTTCTTCGCAACGATACCTTTCCTTCTCATCAAGGACCTCCATCATTTAGGTACTATTAACGTCTATCTTTAATTTCTAGCTATAACAAGTTTTAGTTACTTTTACTTTTATAATCAATTAATTTTTTTGTATTCTATATAGTTACCATCAAGGAGATATGCATATAGGAGAGCTAATAACTCCATTCAAACCAATGATGTATCCACCAAGATTGTTTCCTATCTCTGCCTCTTCCTCCGCCCTTAGGCCGTCGCCACCACCACTTGTGCAACCTTATCTTTATCCACCACCGTCTCCTCCACGGTCTTCATCGTTTCCTCACCGTCACACAAACGACTACTATTTGCACAACAATGGTATCCGCCACCAAACCCTAACTAATAGCGGTCATAGTGGTTGCAGTGGTCGTGAACCACCTAACTCGAGTTACACCTTCATAGGTGCACCGGTGGCTAATGGCTCTAGAGTTGCTCCTCTTCTTCCTCAGCCTCTACCTCCACATCATGGGTTATAATTATATTTAAGGAAGTGGAACAAAGGTGTTTTATTTCTTTTGGATTTTGATTGATTGTTATTCAATTAAATATTTAAATTTGGTCTATAGCCTTTGTGAGAATATTGAAAGAGACATCACAAAGTAAGTGAAAATGAAAAAAAAAGAAAGTTAAAATGCAAATTGGAGAGGGAGTGTTGTATTTTGGGGTTATGTAAGAAGATTGTATTCGTATGAAGAAGCAGCTTTTTATCTATTTTTATTTTGTTTTTTTCTGTTCTTATCATCTACTTTTGTATTGGAGCTGTTTTCTGAGACCACGTAAGGTATTTTGTCGTTCTATTTATGACCTTTGATTTTTATGTTTTTAAGAAAAAAAAGAAAATAGAACTGGAGTGAATAGAGAGCGAGAGAGAGGAGAGATCAAGTAAGTTAGATTTGGACTTCAATAGTTGAGTTCTAACTAACTCTTACTCTCTTTGCTCGGGAGATTTATCAATCTTGATTTGCATATATAGTTTTTTTTAACAATCATTTACTATATATAAATTTCGTCTCGATGTTTGATCTGGTTTGTTAGTCAATATTCATCGTTAAATTTATACGTTGAGATCTTGTAAAAAAAATTTGAAACTAAATCATTTTTTTCCTTACGCACCTCTTTTTATTAGGTTAATTTTTTTGTTTCTTAGGTGAAACGTAGAGTAATCCTCATATTTGCAGTGCAACGACCAAACAGACTCAGTAAAAGCCTCACCTCTAATTCTTTTTCCCCTCTGTATATATATCTACGGTGAAAATGTCCTATATACTTAAATTACGTGTTGACAGAAAAACGGCAAACATTAAAAATATATTTACGTTTACTCTAGACACTATAGTTCGTGTAAACAATAAAAAAAAAACATTCAAATTACGTATACAAATGTAAGAAAATCCAAAACATAAACTAAAAAACTACGTTTGTATTGTATCCTGTAAATCAGTCAAAAGTAGTGATCAGAAAGAGAGAGTGTATAATGATCTCAAGCTGAAGCATGTTTGTGTGATAAAAGGAGAAAAGAGAGCTATGCATGAAAAGAAGAAAGAAATCATGGTTTTGTGAAAGAAGGCTAACCCTAGATATATACAGTCCTCCCAAGAGTCATATCATGTGTATTTTAAAGTAAATGAATAATCAGAAAGCGAAAGGAGAGAGAGAGAGATTGGGTGGATCAAAATAGATATGTGTATGAGAATAAATTAAGGCTTATTTAAAATAGAAGTTGGACTGAGACATAGACAACTGTGGTAAGGACTCATTGATGCAGTTAAGTTTCTTTTGTTTCAGTCTGTCGATTACAAACCCTATTCTCTTAGATCAGCTTTTACCATTTCTTAGCTTTTCTCCTCAATTTCAACTCTACCCTACTATTAGTGTATATGTATATGTATGCGTGGGGATACATATGAGTTGATTCACTCTATTTGTGGATTTGTATATATAATTATACTGTGAAGTGTGAACAAATTATTAGGTATATAATTAACTTAAGAGAGTTATAAAGTTAATATGTATACAAATGTGGAATTTTCTTCTAACTAATGACTAATTATTAATTAAAGATTGTTTTATATACAGGTTTTCTTATCGAATTCTATATAAACTCGAAATCTACAATCTTCATATGAATGTATACCAATTACTATCTGTATAACCACATATACTGATAAATCATGCATTCACGTCGCCTAGTAGAGCGGAATGACTTGATTACATCGACTTATTAACCATACTTAAACATATATTATGAATTATTAAGAAAACGTGTATTAGTTTAGGGAACTACCTACAAATATCGAAGTTAATTGTGCCATGTAACATAGAAAATGGACTTACCTACAAATTTATACTTAGGGATACTTATATACGGTTGTGTATGTTTCTCAATAAAACATAAAGATAATAAACATTTAAGTAGTGACATAACTAGAGACCCTGAATAGGTGTGCGTCTATATATCTAGAGACTACTGATTCAAGTAATAATATCCCTGAATTTCATGGAAAAAAAAACAATTAAAGAAAAAGGAAACACATGAGATCGACTTATATAATTAAGAGGGAAACGGACAAGTAGGGGGCTAAGAAAATGTGTTTGTAAAGGATGAAACAGGAAAGTAAAGCTTTTTCTACTTATGCAAATAAAATTTTAGGGTTCAGTTACCGATTGCTATATTATTAAGTAGTTTAGTAGAATAGGCTGCATCTGCTGTTCCTATACAATGACACCGCCCATCTCTATTACGCACTATTTAACCTTACATTTAATTATTTAACTTCTTATAGATCTTTGTAGGGTTGTTTATTTTGGGTATGTTTTTAAGTAATGTATAAACAAAAAAAGAGTAATGTATAAACAATCAGGGTAAATTTCGAGGCTGGATAGTTCAGGTTTAGGATATGATACACCTAGTTTCAGTACACAATAGTATTACAGCAAAATACATGTGTTAAGTGCGAATTGATCTACGTAGTGGTCGTAGATTAAAACCCTTTTTTTTTGTTAGTTTGTTAATTAAAGTCCTTCATGGCGTTTCTGATAATTTTTGTAATTTTCGCAGAAACCACAATTTTTATTGAAATTTGGAGACGGTAAAGCACCATCTCCCGACAACCAATACCTGTGAATAATGAGAATAATAATTTGAAATTTCATATGAAAACATAGGTTTTAAACAGAGATGATATGTCACAATATCCACTTAAAACAAGTTAAAACACAAACCATTATACCACATGCAAAAACAATCAAAAGCCATGATTACAAGGATAAAAATGATCAAGAACTATTGCATAAACTCAAAACACTGCCAATACTAAAAATAGTTTCCAAAACACAAATTATCATTGCTTGTATAAAGGCAAAATATTGTTATGCAAATGCAGTGTGAAATTATCTTGAAAAAATTCTTTAAAGTTTAGTGTATAATAAAGTTCAATCAGATATGCTGATTATCAAGATAGTAACTTGACGATGAGTGCTTTAATAGTACAAATGACCTATGTAAGTTTAGTGTACAAAATTCAATAACATGTAAATTGTCACATGTTGGTAGTGTGATTAGTCTGAAGTTGATCTTCGACACATGATCTACTTATTGAAAGGAAAAAACGTAGAAAAAGGACAAGGGTTAATTAATTTGCCCCAACTAATAAAGAATATAATCATTTTAGAGTTGATTATTAAGCAAATAACCACTGTACATTGATGTATATGGACTAAAAACTCTCTCACACAAATGACATCATTTTTTCTCTCTTTCAAAATATATTGTTTTGTTGTTCGTAATGAGTTTTAGTTTATGACCACTGTACTTTTGTAAACTGGGTATGCCATTCTTAATGAGTTTTAGTTTATGTTCATGTATGGATTTTGTTTAGGAAGATAAGTGACTTTTGAAATGATACTTAGAAAACGGTAAAAAATTACTTACTTAGTTGCTTAACTTAGTCTTGATGTTATTGGATTCACTTTAAAAAAAAATTATTGATACGTACAGTAATTCCTTACGTTATATAATAAGGAATATGCAGACTGTTTTGGGTAAGTGAAATCAACAAAATTTTGTTTTGTAAGTTAAAAATCAAAATGGTAAAATATATACAATTTCTACACAAACAGCACCATTGCCTAACCTTCTTATCCATTGAGAAGGTATTGACTTTCGTCTCGACTTTTATCTTTGTATGATTTCAAAATCTGATTGTCACCGTGGCGCTTAATCGGTGCGTTTCATTAGAGAGCATTATCGAGTTCTCTCGAGAAAGTCCCATCCTTTTTTTTTTTTAATTTTCTCGCGACGCATCTGTTACAATTGTTCCTGAATCGTAATCGAAAATTGCGAGTGTTTCTGTAGTTTTAGCTTCTAAATCACCAAGGAGGCTTTTGGAAGAGAAGCTCATCTCTTTCTTGGAGTCATGTAAAACCCAGAAAAAGCTTCTTCAGATTCAAGCGCAGACTTTAATTCATGGGTTGGAACAGAATGATTATGTTGGCCCGAGAATCGTCGCTGCTTGTTGCCGGATCACGAGAATTGATTACGCACGCCGAGTGTTCGACGCAATCTCTCAACCAAATGTTTCTGTCTGGAATGCCATGTTCAATGGGTATGCGCAGAAAGACTTGTACAGAGAAGTTTTGTTGCTGTTCAAGAGAATGAGAAGCAATGATGTGATGCCCAATTGCTTTACTCTCCCGGTTGTTTTAAAAGCTTATGTTATGATTAACGATCTAAGACAGGGAGAGGAGTTACAATGCTTTTCGATAAAAACAGGGTTTAGATCAAATTCTTATTTAGGAACCAAGTTGATTGAGATGTACTCATGTGCAGGATTGATAGCATCGGCAAATAAGGTTTTCTCTGAGATGGTTGAGAAAAATGTAGTTACTTGGACTTCGATGATCAATGGGTATATTTTGAACAAGGACTTAGTCTCTGCTCGACGGTTTTTTGATTTGTCGCCTGAGAGAGACATTGTGTTGTGGAACACTATGGTATCTGGTTATATCGAAACGGGGAATATGATGGAGGCTAGGAGTCTTTTTGATTTGATGCCTTGTAAGGATGTCATGTCGTGGAATACGGTTCTAGAAGGTTATGCAAATATTGGAGACATCGAAGCATGTGAAAGAGTTTTTGTAGAAATGCCGGAGAGAAATGTGTTCTCTTGGAATGGTATGATCAAGGGCTATGCTCAAAGTGCGCGGCTTTCTCAAGTGCTGGATTGTTTCAAGAGAATGGTTGTTGAAGGGAATGTTGTTGCTAACGACGCAACATTGACTTCAGTCTTATCCGCTTGTGCAAAGTTAGGAGCTCTCGAATTCGGGAAACGGGTGCATAAACATGGAGAGAATCTTGGGTATGATAATGTGAATGTTAACTTTAAGAATGCTTTGATTGATATGTATGCAAAATGCGGAGCTATAGAGACAGCTATGGAAGTCTTCAGAAGCATAAAGAGGAGAGATTTGATAAGTTGGAACACCATAATCAACGGCTTAGCTGCACATGGACATGGTACCGAGGCCTTAGATCTATTCCGGGAGATGAAAAACAGTGGAATTAGACCCGACAAGGTAACATTCGTCGGTGTTTTGTGTGCCTGTAGACACATGGGTTTGGTTGAAGATGGTTTGGCTTATTTCAATTCCATGTCTACTGATTTCTTAATCACGCCTCAAATCGAGCATTGTGGTTGTGTGGTGGATTTACTATCCCGTGCTGGACTTTTAACACAAGCTGTTGAGTTTATAAACAAAATGCCTGTGAAAGCGGATGCTGTTATATGGACCACTTTACTTGGAGCTTCAAAGGTGTATAAGAAGGTGGAGGTTGGCGAACTTGCTCTTGAAGAGTTGGTCAAGCTTGAACCAAGAAACCCGGCTAATTTCGTGATGCTCTCAAACATATATGGAGATCTCGGGAGATTTGTTGATGCTGCAAGGCTGAAAGTTGCTATGAGAGACACCGGTTTTAAGAAAGAAGCAGGTGTTAGCTGGATTGAGACCGATGATGGTTTAGTCAAGTTTTATTCTTCGGGAGAGAAGCATCCCCAAACAGAGGATTTACAGAGGATCTTGAAAGAGCTTAAGAACTTCAACTTCCTGCTTGATGAAGAAGAAGAAGAAGAACCTCAAGAACATTTTATCTAGTCTTGAAAGAAGCTTTTGTCAACAAGATTGGATTTTTTCACTACCGGGATTCGTTATGAAGAATTTTCTGACATGTGGAAGCGGGAAGCTTCATACTCTTTGAGGTATCAGAATTTGTAATTGTTTCACAGATGAAGTAATTGTAATACTGTAATTTTCACTAACACATGGACTTGATACAGAAGCCATAAGTAAAGACATATTGAAATACATAATTAGTTGTGTTGTCAGTTTCAAATTGCTAAAAATCATAATATGTCTCTTATTCTCGTTATAGTGTGATTGTTCTTGCAGTCTCTTGCTCTTGTTTATAATCACGGGTTATTCATGAATGCTTTCAACTACCCCGCGTTATTTCATTTACGTTATAACGGATCTCTCAAGATTCCAAGATCATTTGTTGGTATACACTAGTAGGTAAAGAATATTAAGAGTGTTTATCAATACTACGGATGGAATCAACTTGATCAACTACCACATTATTTCGTTAACGTTATAACGGAGCTTACAAGCCACATGTACACAGCTATATATAGTATGAATTTGCGATTGCAATAAGTAAAAACAAACCCTAAAACAAAAATGAATGAGAAAGAGATTCCAATGAACCTGAGGGACGAAGAACAAAACCCAAGTGAAGAAACCAAAAGATTTATCTCTTCACTTCCTTCAGACATAGATTGCTATGGGATCAAGATGTTCAAGTACAAAGGATGTTGGTACGAGAAAAACATTCTCCAAGCAATACTTAGTTTCCAAAAAAGTTTTGAGCCACAAGAAACCGATATAATTGTTGCTTCTTTCCCCAAATCGGGCACGACTTGGCTAGTGGCACTCGCATTCGCTCTCGTTCGAAGATCCAAATATCTATCGAATGATGGTCATCCTCTGCTATCTCATAATCCTCATGACCTAGTGCCATTCCTCGAGATCGAGCTGTACAACAATGTCAATAAAAGCTCAAAACCTGATTTGACCAAGTTCTCATCATCATCATCTCCAAGATTGTTCTCAACTCACATGTCGTTCCATGCGCTTCAAGTACCATTGAAGAAGGAGTCTCCATGCAAGATCGTGTACGTGAGAAGGAAAGTGAAAGACGTGTTGGTGTCACTTTATCATTTCAATAAGTCTCACAAGGGAGTGTTATGGGGTGGAGAAGGCAGTGGAGTAGAGGAAATAACCATCGAGGATTTATTCGAGTCTTTCTGTACCGGAGTTACCTATTTCGGTCCCTACTGGGACCAAGTCTTGAGCTATTGGAGAGGAAGCTTGGAAGATCCCAAGCACGTGCTTTTCATGAGGTACGAGGAGCTGAAATCAGAACCTCATGCTCAGATCAAGAGACTTGCTGAGTTCTTGGAATGTCCTTTTACCGAGGAAGAAGAACAAAGCGGATTGGTTGACAAGATCTTGGAGCTCTGCTCATTCCGTAACCTAAGCGGTTTGGAGATCAACAAAACCGGGAAAAGCTGGATCGGATTAGATTTCAAGACTCTTTATCGTAGAGGAGAGGTTGGTGACTCAAAGAATTATCTGACTCCTGAAATGGAGACCAAAATCGACATGATCACTGAGGAGAAACTTAAAGGTTCGGGTTTGAAACTCTAGAGTTATATATTCGTGGTCTGTGATGAAATTTAAACTGGCACCCCCTATAACTAAATAATACCGGTTTGTGCTTCTTGAATGCATTGTAATAAAACCTTGCTCCTATTATTTAAGAGTTGAAAATTCTGAGTGATGTGTAGTTTTTTTTTTGTTTTCTTTGATGCTTAATTGCTTTGTTCATTTGATGTACGACTAATAAACTATCGTATTATGGTGAGCCAAAAAAACAATATTTAACGGAAAGCCATAGCTTTAAAAACTAAGACAATGGCTTGGTTAAAAAGCAAAGAAACGTGAAGAGAAAAGCTTGCGCACATGGGCACATCAAGCAGGCCTAGAATATAAGCACAAGGTCTTCAGAATTCAAACAACTTCTAAGCAGCCCGTTCAAACAAATATCATGCCTCTCAGGATTCTGATTCTGTTTTACTACGAATAATGTTTTAGAGTTCGGCTTTGAGTTAGGCGTTATTATTCTAAGGTTAAAAAGAGAAGGGAATTTAAAACTGATAAACCATACGTAACTCGAATATATCAAAGGCCAAACATAAAGGGCTTTCAGTTAAAACAACCGGTCTACATACTCCCATCACGTCACGTGAACGAGTCTTGCCAAAACCCAAAAAAAAAGAGTTTTCAAATCTCAAGAAAACTTATTCGAAAGAAACTACACCATTAAAAAGGGGATGAAAAATATGACTTCTTCCTCCCCAACACTCGACGAGGTCTTCTTTTCAGAATTAGGCCTTGGACATGTGAACGATCAAGTCGACCACACGGGTACTGTAACCCCATTCGTTGTCATACCACGACACCAGTTTCACGAAGTTCTCACTCAATGCAATTCCAGCCTTTGCGTCAAATATGCTCGACCTGAAAGAAAAAACACATCAAAATTGCTTTCAAATTACAATAACAGACTACAAGATTGAAATGTTATTTCAACTGCCTATTTTGCATAACAGTAGATTTACCTGCTATCACCAACGAAGTCGGTTGAAACAACATCGTCCTCGGTGTAACCAAGGATTCCCTTTAGTTTGCCTTCAGATTCCTCCCTGTTTATATTTGGTAACAATCCAAATAAGTGTTCGTTATCTTACAAAGATGTAATGGAACTACTTAAACTGAAACCGAAAAGCTTACTTGATAGCCTTCTTGATTTCGTCGTAGGTGGCAGCTTTCTCGAGTCTGACAGTGAGGTCAACAACTGAAACATCAACGGTGGGAACACGGAAGGACATTCCGGTCAACTTTCCGTTGAGCTGTGGAAGCACCTTTCCGACAGCCTTGGCAGCTCCGGTGCTACTGGGAATGATGTTGAAGGAAGCAGCTCTTCCACCTCTCCAGTCCTTCATTGATGGACCATCGACAGTCTTCTGAGTAGCTGAAACCCCACACAAACAAACAAACAAACAATAAGGCAATTATAAGTACAGTCCAAGACAAGATATAACAACAGACCTTCAGGAATCAATTTGTAATAAAACGAGATATATACCAGTGATAGAGTGGACGGTAGTCATGAGTCCCTCAACAATTCCGAACCTGTCGTTGATAACCTGCATAAACAGATTGCATATTTCAATACATCTAAGCACGATTTACTTTCAAATTAAGAATCGTGAATAAAAGTTTCATAATTTTACGGGATGAATAAGATAGAGATACCTTGGCAAGTGGAGCAAGGCAGTTAGTGGTGCAGCTAGCGTTGGAAACAATGTCAAGGTTAGACTTGTATTCGTGCTCGTTGACACCAACAACGAACATGGGAGCATCTTTGCTTGGGGCAGAGATGACAACCTTCTTGGCACCACCCTGAACAAAAACGAACCATATGAGATATTTTCAAAACCTTAAAACAGATGCTCTATATATGCCATAGCCAGAGCAAAACAAATATGTCACTATACTTCTCAAAACAATTCCAATAACAAACAAATGTCTTACAAAATTGATAAGCATATATGTATCGAAACACAATTACAAGATAAATAAAGCCCAAAAGCAAACCTTCAAGTGAGCAGCAGCCTTGTCCTTGTCAGTGAAGACACCAGTAGACTCAACAACAAAGTCAGCTCCAGCCTCACCCCATGGGATATCTTCAGGGTTTCTTCACAAGTAAAATATCACAAAATTTTAGTTTCATCAGTCTCGGTAACATAAGAGAGATACACAGATTTAAAACCACAGATTTTGTGTACCTTAAGCCGAAAACAGTGACTGGCTTCTCACCAAAGAGAAGGGTCTTCTCATCCTTCACCTTAAGCTCATGGTGCTTCCACTGGCCGTGAACACTGTCATACTTAAACATGTATGTCTGCAACGATCGACACAATATACATATTCAATTAGAACGTTCATCACCGAAATAATCAGATGGTCACCATATTATAGTACATCAAAACGAATTCAGATCTACGTAACAAACAGAACAGACCAAATTTATTTCTGAAAAATTGTTCTGATTCAAAGAAATCTAAATCGACTCGCGCCATATCCAGATCAAAACGATATAAACCAACCCAGATCAAATTAGCATCGACGAGAAGAGAAAAACGAACCATGTACTCGGTGGTGATGAAAGGATCGTTAACGGCGACGAGCTCAACATCGTTCCTCTGAAGGATAACTCTAGCGACCAAACGACCGATTCTTCCGAATCCTTTAAAACATTTCACGAAGACGATAAACTCAGATTCCACATAACTGGACTAACGAAAACCAGCAAAAACTTATGAGAAAAACGCGATTGAAAACAAAACACTCACCGTTGATTCCGATCTTAATCTTCTTGTCAGCTAAACAAACAAAAAGAGAAATCAAAAGCACGATCAGATAAAAAAAACCATAACAAAAGCATCGACGGAGAAAACGAGAGATCGAAGCAGAACGACAAGAGCGATAAACTAACCCATTTCCGAAATCAAAGATTACGAGGGAGAGAGAGAGATGTAGATGAGATCGAGAGAGAAAAGCTAAGTGAGTGAGAGAGGGTTTGGTGAGGCTTTAGGGTTATTTAAAAGAGAGAAGAACGTGATGACTAGAAAGAGATCGAAATTTGATCGAGTGGCTGAGAATTTTTCTTGGGAAGAAGGTTACAGATCAGATTCAGTAATTATTATCACTGGATTGTCCATTACTTTTAAGCTAATTTACCATTTATGCCACTGTTTTGGCTAATTGTTTATGGTAGGATTAAGAACTAATTGGAAAAACTAATGGCGCTTGCACTTCACGCGCCGGTATTGGAATATTCGAGGTTTAAAAAGTCAAGATTCTATGGGCCGGGCCGACGCATACAAGACCGCAACGCAGCAGGTTTTCGAAAATTCTTTTATTCTCAGCCAATGAGCGTAGGTCACGTAAGCAACCACGGCCAACTAAATAAAATATAAAATATCGTTTAATGAACGTAAAATTTTGTTTTCTTGTTGTTTAGTATCAAAACAAACATAATTTGGTTCTTCACTAACCTTTTTGTAATTCTTCATTTACTACAGATTACTTATAACTCTACAGTTATCAATCAAAACATCTATATACAATGGCATGAATCATGATATCACTGTCTAGTGTCTACTTAGGATCCAGATAAAATACAAATAGAAAGAAACCATTCCATTTTCGAGGTTGCATTACTTAGATTAATACATCGCAGTTATTTTGAAATGCTAGTACATTTTAATCCAGAAAAATCGTCTTCTTTTAAAATTTGTTTTAGATTGACAAAAGAACAAAAAAAACATTGATTTAGAATAATCAAGGTGAACACTTTCTTTTCACTTATAAACCACTATTTTAGAGGAGATTTATTTTCATCAATTTAGAGGTACATATTATATATGAAGCTTCTAGATGTCTTTATCAAAACAATTTTTGCTTACTGTATCAAGATATTATATTTGGACTCAACATAAGGTGTTCTATATTTATCAAATTGTGACTTCATGTCACACATAGATGCTCCACTTTGAGAGCTTTGGTTGGTCGGATTAATGTGACAGCAAGAAATAAGTCACTTTATGCAATGTGGTATGACTCTTGGCTTTTGCCAAAAGTCTCCTTCTCCTCCTCCTCTTGTTTATTTTATTTTATTTTTTTTATGTATTTTCATTACATTTGTGTTAGGTGAATGCATATGGTGATATTACATCCTATAAATAATTATCGACGGTCAACCATATATCATATCTAAAATTTTGAGATCTCACACTAACCTGCAGATGTACCTGAACAGAACACATGTATGATATTGACCACATCATATAAGCTATGCCATGTAGTCTAGTGGTTAAATTAATATCGTCATTGTATTTGAATCTATCCGAACTCAAATTCATACAATGTTAACAAAAAAAAACTGACTCCTCGACTGTATGTTACTACCCTAAAATATATAATTATGATTCAAAATAAGATTTTAGTATTCGTTTTTTCTTTTTTGTTAATTCAATCACGACGGTTTGTAAGAAACCGAGTTTATTTTGATGAAGCCATTTGAAAAAAAAATTCAAAGCTTAACGTCGTACTTTTTTCATTATCTCAAAACTAATTTCAATGTGAAAATGACTATGTTGAGTTACTTGGTGGAGTTTTTATATGTTATTTTTGAAATTCCATATTATTACCCGGCTCTTATCCCTTTTATCTTGAAGTGTCATTATTCACAATGTTCTAAGTAAGCGTAAAGAGAAAAGAACAAAGATATATCGTTATCGAAGTATATGTTAAAATTCGATTCTCAAAGAATAAAAAAAGAAAAGAAAGAAGAAGATAGATGCAATAATTGACGCAGACCCTTTTTGACAAAAAAAAAATTGATTGATGCAAGCTTTAAGTAATGGAATCTTATCCATGTTGATCTGCTAGAACCAATGTTAGTCCAGAAAAAAAAAAAAATATGTTAGTCCAGTAACGTGATGGATTAGATCTACATAAGTTGGTTTATGTATGCACTAATCATTTCAATTATGTGTGATTATATTTTAACTAATCAGTGGAACTGCGTACAGTACTGTAACTGTGAATTCAAGAAATCATAGGACATACATAATCGAATTTGATACATTCAATCGAAGCCCAATGTCTAAAACACAAGTAGATATTAGTCTCTTAGGCTATGTCAGATGTCAGATGTCCGACTAGAGAATGGCTTGAAATGGAAAGTTACAGATAGTTGTGTTAGTGATGATAAGCAAGGCAACTTCTGAGCTCTTGGATAGGTAGATCTTTCGATTTGAAACCAGGTTGTCGAGAAATGATGAATTGAATTAGATGTTTGGGTTTTGTCTCTTTTACCAGTGTCTCAAGGGAGAAAAAATGCTAAGAAGATCACGTGGAATATTCAAGCTATAACGAGACTAGTTGCTTCCAGCATGACTTACTTGCCATGTCTTGATGAAATATGTACGAGAGAGTCTTAACTTACTGTGACTTAGGTGTGTTTCATGCGTTGGCATATACTATACTAATTACGAATCCACAGATGGTTAAGGTGGATCCTTTTGATACCAAGGTAAACAAAAAGTGTGAGATTATTGTGTTCGTTTATCAATCAATCTAGGATTTCTTGGCAGTATAGATAAGAAATGTTATTTTTTTTTCTCATGTTGCAGCAACACTCGTTTCTTACAAGAAGAGTGACTACACTCGCTCTTGTCTGAATCACATCTGAATCCTTTATTCACTTTACGCCTCTCCTTCGTTTCTCTTCTGTTCTGTTATGTTCTTTCCAAATGTAACAGACCAAAAAACTATTTCGAGTGTCTTATTGATTTGTAAGTTGATATTACATATTTGAGCAAGTACATTCTTTGTTCTTTCCAGGGGAAAAAAAGGAGGAAATGTACAAAGGGAATGACAAAATATTTACAGTGAACTGTTCGTGGATTAGAATTAACTGTTGATACATTTGGACAACAAGTTTTTGTGATCACATTCACTCATCTCACTCCTCGGTACAGGGCACCTGGTTGAAGATCATCCATGTTGTCTATGTTCCTAAAACCATCAACTTGCAGACATGTCCATCCACGTCGAGCCAGAAAATCGCGGTAATCTTCTTCCGTGTAGAAGATTTTCTCTTCTGTATGGACTGGTAATTGGTTGGATTCATCATAATGGCAAACTCTAATGGCCAATCCTGCAAAATGGGTTTTGGATATTGAGAACTCAGTGAAACAGTATTAACGAGTCAACATATACAAACTGCAGAAATTTTGATCTTTACCATTATCGACATGGAGTAGATAGTTCCCTAAAGGCATGTCTCGATCAAGACAACGAACAACTTGATCTTCATCTTCTAACCAAAAAGCCCGTCTGGTTCTTAACCCAAAAGCAGATCTGATTGTCTCTTTGATTGCTTCAGAGCTACCATCAACGCCGATTCTTCTTGTATAGTCGCCAAATTTCACTGTTATGACCCTCCCACCAAAAGGTTGAGCATCACCACCTGCTTGTATAAACGTGAAACATTCTAATTCGTTGCAGGAGACAGAAAAAATCAGTCAAGCAGAGGAACAGAGGCTGTGAAGCAACCTCAAAATTGACGTGATTTTGGTTTCAAAATTAGAGCCAGAAAACGCAGACTTTTACTTATACTACAACATGCTTGGAACACAGAGTTCAAAATCAAATCTTTGGCAAATTAACTTTGAGGCTTAAGTTATTCTAAGCTTTTTTTCTGAGACTTGCCGTTTCCAGGAGTCTCTCTCCAATTCCAAGGAGGAACTCCATTTGCTGCAACAGCATCAACTGTAGTAATTGCAAGAGGATGACCATCATGATCAAGACGCCTTTCAAGGTTTAACGCTGGCCTGCCATTCGCTGGAACATATATAAAAACTCTAATCAATACACACACATCCTCTAGAAACTAAACTAAAACCATATAACAAGCTAACATAGAAACTGTCTGTGAATCCCTCGGCACAGTCATGTCCATCTCTTAAAATGATAAAATTAACGACCTGATGTTCAGACTACAGAGAAATCAGATTACAGATAACTTTCCTCTCGCGAGTGAAACTCATTCTTTCCAGTCCCAAATGCTCGTAAAGCAAGTTAAAACCTCTAGTACTTACTACTTACTAAAGGAGGATTTTTACACCAACTTAAAAGACAAGCTTCAAGAGGTAATGGACGAACAAAAGCTTGCCCCTTTGTACATAGAAAGATATAGTCAGCACACAAAAGTGATAGATAGATCAATACCTTCAACAGATCCAAATGAAATGCTCGTATCATCAAAACCTACGATGAAAGATAAAGTCACCACTTAAAACCAAAATGAACTAAAAGCACAAAGCCAAAAGCCACAAAAAAAAAAAAAACAGATGAAGTACCATAAGTGTTATCTTCTTAACAGAATAACGAAGCTAAATTAAGAAAGCTACTCTATAATGGCACTCCAATTAGTATCTTTTCAGCCTAAGCTACAGATAAAATCCCTATAAACTCTTATTACAGTTGAATTTCCTCAAAAAAGAATCAAGGAACCCTGCAGTTTATACCAAACAAGGAAATTAAGAAGCCTGCCAATTGTTTTACCTTTATCAGTAAATTGCATAAAGGAATCAACTTTAGCAGAGGGTGTATTAGGACTCTTGCTAAACTGCGTCGTCGACGACGCTTTCTTGCTCCTCTCTCTAAGAATGTCTTCAATCTCCTTGTAATAAGACATCTTCGCCGATCCATTTCCTCTATCATGATGCTTGGCCTTCTTAAACTCCTTCAACAGATTCCTCCACTTATCGGTACACATAGTCGGAGATCGATCGAACCCTTTGTCTCTCATCTTCGCTGAAATCTGTTCCCAGAGATGTTTATTGGATTTGGAGGTGTTGAAGAGACCGTCCATACCTCTACGGAACATAATTAGGCTACGAGTCTCGTCTTGAACCCATGTCTCCGCTCGTTTCTTCGGTGCTTTAACTTCGTGATCCTCACCGCTGCTTTCTCCGAGGAGAATCTGTTGCGGCTGGAGATGATGATGATTGTGATTGTGATTGTGATTGTGGTGGTGATTGTGCGGCTGTAGATCTCCTGCTCCGTTGGCAGTGACATCGATAATCATGTCGCGTGCGGTGGTTGAGGGATTTGTATTATTGTCTTTGTAGAAATCATTAGGACGAGGCTTGTCGGAAACAAACATTGCCGTCTTGCCGGCGAGACAATTTTGTTTACACCAACACAAGCCCCGAGCGAGCACAGAGAAGAAATGTGGCGACCGCAGCAATAAGGCTTTTGCTTGCTTTTTTTGTTTTGTGTTTTTTTTTGTTTTTAATAAAAACATATATTTGGGTTTTAGTCTACTTGTACTTAAGTTTGGATAACTACTTATTTAAAAACTAATAAACATTATTACTTAAATTTATTAGACAATACGTAAAATTATTTAATTTAATAAGAAATAAATCCGAGCGACTAATTCGTCTTTTTTTCTGACACAATCTTAAAGAGTTTACACAGAATGTAAATATAGTTTCAAATAGTAAAATATGTACATGATAATATGCGACCTAGCAAAAAAAATTACTTTCTTTATTTAATTTTGGGTTATGACTTACAACAAAACTACTGATGTTATGCTGTTAAAAATAAAATAAAAACTACTGATGTTACATTTATTTTTAGTTAAAATTATTATACTAACACTAAAGGAAAATTTATTATTTACATCAGACCAAACAATAGCTATCACAAATGGGGGAAAAAGGTAGACAAATGGAGCAGGCACATGATAAAATGAAACTGTGGGTCATACAACTCGTACCAATCAAATTACTTATGTTCAGTTTTAATGAAACAGACAGTTTCAACTTTCAATAATTAATATTCTTTTTTTTTTTCGTTAGTTTTGCAAAATCAATTGTTCTCAACCCTGAAAGATTTATTACAAATGTATGACTTCCCTCCTTTTTCTTTTGCGTCCAATAGATCAGAGTACTTGACCTCATAGTAAATCCCTCTCTGCCCATAAGAACAAAGGGAATGCATCAAAGGAGAAAAAAAGAATGAGATATACAACAGATCCTTTGAAACGAAGCAATGACTAAGATTGGGAAAATTTTGCAGACCTGAATAACAGCTTTAACCATGTATATATATGGTAGATTCAAAATTTCAAGAGTTTCCTTGGTCCAGACTTCAAAGAGTGAATAATAACGCTCTCAAAAAACTAGTTTTGATTGTTTTTGTTTTGGAGAATCTTAAACCTAAATCCTCAACCTAAAAAACTAGGTTGGGATAGAAGAATTACTAACTCGAATCACTCAGGAACGAGAAGGGGTCTTGTTTGAGAACACAAGAAACGAAATTAATAAAGATAATAGTCCACTAACGAATTTATATTCGAGAATTAAAATTGATTTCGAACCAAACTCTAAACCGAAAATAAGTTTGTCTTTTTAACCGATTCATCGAATAATAGTGTTTCGGTTTGGTTTCGAACCTTTTTTAAAGTGTCCGGTTGAAAAAATCCGTAATTAATACAAGTGAGAGACCTGGCAAGCCAGACCGAACACAAAAAAACAATATTAAAAATATAATAAAATAAAAATAAAATATAGATTTGAGAAAAAAAGTTTGATCAGCCATCGGAGAGAAGAATGATAGATAACTGGATCACGAGAGGCGACAAATTACAAAGAAGAAGAAAGAAACTTAAGAAAAAATAAAAATTTAGAAGAAGAATAATTCATATTGAGGCAAAGCGAAAGGAGATTGTTTTTTTCTTTTTCAAGTCAACAAACAACAACGAAGGAGGTTTGGAAGAACTTCAATGTGAATATTTGTAAGTTTGTTTGTTTAATTTTTATCGTCATCATCATCATCATCGTTGTAAATCGTCTTTTTCTCATCTGGGGTAATTTCTCCTGTTGACCTTTTCTTGTGGATTCGGCGAATTTTGTTTGATCTTAATTTTGTAATTTTGTGATTTATCTTGTTTCGGGATTGTAAATGTACGATTTTTATTGCGATTGTTTCAGAATCAGACCCGTAAATCGCCGAAAGTTTCATCATTTTTTTCGGAGTGACGATAGATTTCATTTCTGGGTTTCGAGTGTGTCTAAGGAGGAAGAAGAAGAAAAAAGGGGTTTTCCTGTAATAATTTGGGAATTTAGGGATTTCTCTCCATTTCAGGTTCGTTGTTTTAACCGATTTTGCGTTTTGTAAGTAGAAATTATATCTTCAACATATAAACGATCTGTGTGTGTTGATTGTTTACTGGATTTTGCTTCTTCTTTTTCTTCAGCTGTAGTTTGTTCGTAATGGAATGATCAGAGAATCTCAGTTTATAAACTATGTGGAAACAGATTATAAGTAAGCTTCCGAAGAAGTCTTCTTCTAAGAACCATTCTTCAGCTAATGCCGTTGCATCTACTTCGAAAAGTAGTGTTAATGGCGCCGGAAAATCGGGGAATTCTCACACGAAGAACGCTCCTGCTGCAAAACCTGCTGCTTCTCCTTCTGATTCAGGGTTTAGAGATGGGAATCTAAAGGGAAATGGGAACGGTTTCACGCCTTATGAAGCATTGCCAAGTTTTAAAGACGTTCCAAACGCTGAAAAGCAAAACTTGTTCCTGAAAAAGCTCAACTTGTGCTGTGTCGTGTTTGATTTCTCGGATCCAACGAAGAACGTCAAGGAAAAGGAGATTAAGCGGCAGACATTGCTTGAGCTGGTGGATTATGTAGCTTCTGCGAATGGGAAGTTTAGCGAGACGGTTATTCAAGAAGCGATAAGAATGGTTTCTGTGAACATATTCAGAACCTTGAATCCTCAACCTCGAGAGAATAAAGTTATTGATGCTTTAGACTTGGAAGAGGAAGAGCCTTCCATGGATCCTGCTTGGCCTCACTTGCAACTTGTCTATGAGCTTCTCTTGAGGCTTATTGCTTCACCTGAGACCGACACAAAGTTGGCTAAGAAGTACATCGACCAGTCTTTTGTCACACGGTTACTGGATTTGTTTGATTCCGAGGATCCAAGAGAAAGAGATTGTCTGAAAACAGTTCTGCATCGAGTCTACGGCAAATTCATGGTTCATCGTCCTTTCATTAGGAAATCCATAAACAACGTTTTCTATCGGTTTGTTTTCGAGACCGAGAAACACAACGGGATTGCTGAGTTTCTGGAGATTCTGGGAAGTATCATCAATGGATTTGCTCTGCCGCTTAAAGAAGAGCACAAAGTGTTTCTGGTTAGAGCTTTGGTGCCTCTCCACAAACCGAAATGCCTGCAAATGTATCATCAGCAATTGTCTTATTGTATAACGCAGTTTGTTGAAAAAGATTGCAAACTTGCTGATACGGTTATAAGAGGACTGTTGAAGTCTTGGCCCGTCACAAACAGTTCCAAGGAAGTCATGTTTCTAAACGAGCTTGAGGAAATTTTAGAGGCAACTCAGCCACCTGAGTTCCAACGGTGTATGGTCCCGTTGTTTCGTCAAGTTGCTCGGTGTTTGAACAGTCTCCATTTTCAGGTAATTGTTCGTAGCATTTCATTGCATTTGGGGTTTGCTGATTCTTCGAATGATTCTTCACACAAGATTGAAATGTGTGATATCTGATAGACTGAAAGCTTGGTGATTTATTTCTGTTTGGCTACTTGTGGTTAAAGCTTGAATCTTTATATAAGCACAAGAAAGAACAAAAAGGTTGAGTCTTTTTGATTTTTTTGCAGGTTGCAGAAAGAGCTTTGTTCTTATGGAACAACGATCATATCGAGAGTTTAATAATGCAGAACCGTAAAGTTATTCTACCTATCATTTTCCCTGCACTGGAGAGAAACACTCAGAAGCATTGGAACCAAGCTGTTCATAGCTTGACGCTGAACGTGCAGAAGATATTTAATGACATTGATCCAGAGTTCTTCAAGGAATGTCTTGCTAAGTTTAGAGAAAATGAAGCAAAAGAAGCTGAAGTTGAAGCGAAACGCGAGGCGACATGGAAACGGTTGGAAGAAATTGGGATGCAAAAGCAAAAGAGTTCATCGTAAGGCTTTTTAGTTGTAGAGAGAGGTTTCGTTTTGTATTTGTCGTTTTTACTACATTGGAAAATTGGGGGTTTTTTTTGGTATTTTCTCCGGAAAACTTAGTGAGAAAAAGTTTCAGATTCATCTGTTTTGAGGAGATGCAAAGATGTAAGATCATTTCTTGCTTTTATTTACTTCTTTATTTATGATCTTCTTGTTTGTTGAAGCTATGTTAATAGGTTCTTGATACCGTATGTGATTCACATGAGTGTACTAGGATAATTGTTCTTAAACTTTCAACTAATTTTTGGCAAACATTTCAGTTATTTTCTCAAACGAAAGAAACTCCAAACTTTCATTAGCTTATTGCAAATGAAAGTGAATAAAAACACTGCCAACAAACATGAAAGCTTAAACACGAGAAGCTCTCTCTCATGCTTCCCAATTGCTCTTCAACTTATCAACATGTCTGAACTCAAATGTCAGCACTGAACAACTCTCATCCATTCTCCTCAACACAAAGCTCTCCACCAACACATAACATCGATAACTCTTCCAACTCGAACCACCTCCATCGAATCTCTCAGATCTCTGAACCACCGGTCTAAGCGGATCGTTCTTCCACCCGAATCTCTCTTCTTCCCATTTCATCCTCTCAAGAACCACAGATCTCAAACCTATCTTCTTGTCTTTAACCTCAAACCAAACAACCCCATTCTCATCTACACTTGTTGTCTTTTCTCGAATCTCTTGTCCCTCAAGCTTCACAACTTCTGGTTCCACTTCAACATTAACTACAACCTCGCGGTTTTCTTTGCAAGTGTTTTGGTAAGAGTAAACCTCCTCCCATTTTTGGTAAAGAGTCATGCTATAATAAGTTGAGCTCTCAAGCTGATGCTTTGCGTCTCCTTCGTTCACGAATATGAAAGGTACGTACCAATCCCCTACCGCAACGCTTGTGTTCAGATCACTAGGAAGCTCGGACCGAAGCTTGGTGTTAATCCCATTTGCATCATCTCTCAGACCAAAGTCTTCAGATGTCGAGTACTCAACGGTCCAATACTTTCTCTTGAGGAACTCTGGTGGTACCCCGTCAGGAGCAACGGATGTTGCAAAGTAATTTCGAGACAATGATTTCGGTTGATGGATCTCGAATTGTTGGTATGTGTCATAAGGATCTGCATGTTGTGGTTTAGCTTCAGGTACATAGCTGAAGCAAAAGCAGCAGGGAACTCTGTCTTCCTCTTTCGCATTAGCCGAAGCTTCTCTGGACCAAACATTTCAAAAAAAAGGTTAGGTCTTAGTGAAACCTCTTTCTGCAAGTTAGGTTTTTTTAAGCTTTGACATATGATAATCGGTCAAGGGGAGAAAATATTTGTATTTTGTCAGACAAAACATGTTGAGATAAATGGAAAAATCAGAAAAGCTCAACATTTTGGACTTGTAATAAGGGGGAAACTTATTTTTTATACGTAAAAAGAAAATCAAGAAAGTTGAATTTTTTGCTTAATTATAAGTTATACCCTGAGTGTTTCCCGCCTCGTTTAATGGCGTAGTAACGGTTAGAAGATACCGGCTGGTCAAGAACCGGAATGAAAACGACAGGATCACGATAAGCGATGGTCACATTATTAACTGTGATGGTGTAATTTACAGTCAGCTTCACGTTCTGTGGAAATGGTAAGCCTTTGAGTCCACCCTCGTAGCAAGATCCGAAGCAACAGGTTGGCTTTGACTCTTCATCTTGAATTATAAGTACACCGGAGTTTGGACCTTCCGGCGCCGGCTGTTTCAACTCCGATCTGTTTCTTTGGTATTCCGACAAACGCCTTGTAACATACATTTTTTGGCTGTTGACCGGTGATTGATTTTAGCTAGAAATTGATTGGTTCTTAATATACAGAGCAGGATAAGAAGAAACAAAAAATTAAAGACACTTTTACGCGGTATTGTCTAAAGACTTTTCCAAGAGTCTTTTATGGACGTATTTTTCTCTTATGTCACACATCACATCGTTTTAATATCTGTGAATTAATTATATTTTATTCCCTTTTTTTTTGTTCAAATATTTTATCCACTTTGAATTCAAAAGGTATGACCTATACTTTAAATCTGATCACTTGGGCAATCTGTCAAACACGTGCAGATTATTAGAACGAGTAGCTTTTATGATCATGAGACAATCTTTAATGCAGATTTCAAGAGATTTCATGAAAAATTAATAAATCCTAATTTGCAGACATGGCAACAAATTATTGATTAGCTCAATCCCACTCTCTCTTCGATTTATAAATATGTCTAAACATACACTAATGTCAAGTCTTTTAAATCGCTAATTCTAACCCCGTTATCAGCAAATTTCGAGGAAGATTTTATTTTTATATTATCAAAGTTGAGTTAGATATAAAAATAGAGGCTTTAAAAAAATTGTTGGAATAATGATTAGAAATGGTAACTGTTGCTTACAACTTACAAGATATTAAAAATGATATTTTACTAAGTTTAGTTGGAGCATGTAGTAAGAAGAATGATCAATTGGGTTTAGGAAATGGGTTGATCAAATTCCAAAATGCTTGATTTTAGAATTATGATTGATCACTGTGAACGATTTAATGACAAGAATAACGAATTATTTTCAGAAATTCTTGTGATTGATCCGAATTTCCGTTCGGAATATTTGGGTACAGAAACAGCTTGATTTTATCTCATGTCTTTACAATTACATGAAAAGCAAAATCCTTTTGTTCAACATTTTGACTATGACTGTCTGGCAGAACGTTCAGGCAGGTTTTTGGTTGTCTTGGAATCTCTATCATTTCAAAGTTTTTGGACCCGTTTTAATCACATTGTTCACAAAACTAAGGTTTTATCCACTTTTGAGATCCAAAATTACAACATTTTTCTGCTAAAAGGCAAACCCATCATGGAGAATCAAGCAACCAAATTTAGATTCATTAAAATTGACCTTTACATAAGATGAGAAGTTTATTATTACGTGAACCTGCATAAAACCTCTTCACCAAATTATTTAACCAACAGTTGCACACATAACACACAAAGAAGATGAAACAAAGATGAATATTAAACTCAATCCCACTTGCTCTTTAACTTATCAGCATGCCAAAACTCATTTGTCAACACCAAACTCCCATCCATTCTCTTCAGTTCAAAGCTCTCTACCAATACATAACACCGATAACTCTTCCAATGGGATGAACCGCCTTCGAATCTCTCTGATCTCTTAATATTGGATCGTTCGCTTTTGTCTAACCACCCAAACCTTTCTTCTTCCCATTTCATCCTCTCCACAACCACAGACCCAAGACCTATCTTCTTGTCTTGTCTCTCATCTCTTAAGACACTGAACCAAACCACCCCATCACCGCTTGTCTCTCTCAAATGAGTTACTTGTCCCTCAAGCTTCACCACTTCTGTTTCTACTTCAACATCAACCACAACCTCGAAATGTTGATTGTTAACGCTTTCGCAGAAGTAAACCTCTTCCCATCTTTGTTGAAGGGTCATGCTATAAAACGTCGACTTCTTCATCTGATCTTTAGCATTTTCTTCCATCACAAATAAGAAAGGAACATACCATTTCCCTACCACAATACTCTTACCTACACAAGTAAGCTCTGAGTCTGAGCGCAGCTTTATGTTAACCCCTTTTGCATCATCTCTTAGACCAAAGTCTTGAGAAGTCGAGTAGCCGACCGACCAACCTTTTCTCTTAAGGTAACTTGGTGGAACCCCATTCGTAGCAACAGAAGTGGCATAGTAAAAACTAGAATATGATTGGTGTTGATGGATCTCGAATTGTTGGTATATGTCATAAGGATCAGCTAGCTGTTGTGGCTTAGCGTCAGGAACATAAGTAAAGCAAAAGCAGCTTGAAACTCTATCTTCCTCTTTTGCACTTGCAGATGCTTTCCTACAATCACAATTCGGCTGAAGTTAGAAAATTAGTAATCACAAGGTATCATCATGTATTCATATGTAAATGAAACGTACAAGTTCTAAAAAAATTTAGGCCTACCATTTACCAATATAATTTTTTTTTTTTTTGGGTCAACTACCAATATAATTAAACCAATAAGTTACTAGAAGGAAATTTGTTTGTCGTTTTCTCCAAAACAATTTGTCTGAAGAAGTTTACTCATATGCCAAAAATTAAAATGAGTTAAATAATTGTATCATCAAATATATAACATACATAGTTATTTTATTTGATCTCTGAGAAATTCTTACTGCAACAAAAAGTCAATACCACACGTTTAAACATCTAGCTTATTGCAACTCATTTTATTTATTGTATGACATCAAAAAATATAAACAATTCTTAATTATAATCCATAGGTCATTAACTACGAACAAACTTCGACCATTTTTCATTTTTTTTTGTTTTGTAGTCTACCTATTTCAATATATCTATTAGTTTGTAAACCATTTTTTTTTGTCTTTGTTTGTAAATCACTTTATAAAAGTCCCTCAATGTTAAAAGAAATTAATATAATTTTTCGATGTAAAACTTAATTAGAAGTATTCATAGATGGTTCGGATAGCCTATTTATGGATTAATCAAGTCAATTGTTTTTTTTTAAAGTTAAGTATTGAAGAACTGTAAAATGTTAATATTAATCAATCCTAAATCTAAAGAAGACAAAAAAAAAACAGTTAAAATATTGAGAGTACAAGTAATAATACCCAGTATGCTTCCCACGCCTTTGTATAACGTAGTAACGGTTTGAAGACAATGGCTGATCAAGAACAGGGATGAACACAACTGCTGTAGATTCTGATGTGTTGTTTTGTCCTCCGCTGCCATACGTTGCCGTGAGCTTCACGTTTTGTGGAAACGGCAAGCCTTTTAGTCTACCCTCGTAGCAAGAACCGAAGCAGCAAGTGGGCTCTGATTCTTGGTCTTGAATCACCATTACACCGGAGTTTGGACCTTCCGGTGGAGGCAGTTTCAGCTCCGATGGTTTTTTCTGGTATTCCGACAAAAGCCTTGTAACATACATCTTTGAACTTGGTTCTTGTGATGATATTTCTTGGCGAGGAGCTTTGTTTCATCTTTATAGACTTGTAATTAGAAAAATTCTTTGTAGAATAGATTTGACTTTTTGATTGTGGAATCTAATCACGTTGTAAGAAAATTTCATGGAAGGTTGTTACTTTATCAAGTGTCTCTACAATAACATTAAAAGCACAAAAGTCTTTGCCTTTCGATTTGACTTTATGGAAGAATTTGTAATGCAGAGTACGTACATATCAACTTCATCGACAAGTTATTGGACCGGTCTTAGTCGCATCATCCACAGAAGTTTTGTTATATGATTAAGGTTTTGATTGATTCCCAAAGTTATGACCTTTAATTTGCTAAAGAGCTTCGCTAAGATGTAAAGAAACCCATCATGGAGATTATAAGCGACCAATTTAGATTCATAAATGATTTGTATACATGAAATGAGACTTTCATCGTCTACATGAAGCTTGCTTTAAAACTTATTTACAAAATTGTAAACCAAAAGCTGAATAAACTCAATCCCACTTGTTCTTTAACTTATCAACATGACCAATTTAGATTCATCTATGATTTTGTATACATAAAATGAGACTTTCATCGTCTACATGAAGCTTGCTTTAAGACTTATTTACAAAATTATTAACCAAAAGCTGAATAAACTCAATCCCACTTGTTCTTTAACTTATCAACATGTCTAAACTCAAATGTCAACACCAAACTCCCATCCATTCTTTTCAATTCAAAATTCTCAACCAATACATAACATTTATAACTCTTCCATTGCGATGAACCGCCGTTGAATCTCTCTGATCTCGTAATGCTAGACCTTAGTTCATAGCCTTTGTTTAACCAACCAAACCTTTCTTCTTCCCATTTCATCCTCTCCACAACCACAGACCTAAGACCTATCTTCTTGTCTTGCCTCTCATCCCTTAAGACACTGAACCAAACCACCCCATCACCGCTTGTCTCTCTCAAATTAGTTACTTGTCCCTCAAGCTTCACAACTTCTGACGCTACTTGTACATCAACTACAACATCACAGTTTTCGGCTTTATCGTTCTCACATGAGAAAACCTCTTCCCACCTTTGTTTAAGCGTCATGCTGTAATAAGTTGATCTCTTAGTCTGATCCTTAGCATCTCTTTCTTTCAAGAATATGAAAGGGACATACCATTTTCCTACCACAACGCTTGTATTCACATCGTTGGGAAGCTCGTAACGAAGCTTAGTGTTAATCCCTTTTGCATCATCTGTCAGACCAAAGTCATGGGAATCTGAGTACCCAACTGTCCAATACTTTCTCTTAAGGAATTTTGGTGGTATCCCGTCAGGAGCAACGGAGGTTGCAAAGTAACCTCGAGAGGATGATTTTGATTGATGGACCTCGAATTGCTGATATATATCGTAAGGATCAGCTTCTTGTGGCTTAGCTTCAGGAACATAGCTAAAGCACAAGCAGCAGGGTACTCTGTCTTCCTCTTTTGCACTAGCTGAAGCTTCTCTGCAATCCAAAATTGTAAAAACGAAAAAAAAAGTTTACCCCTTGTACACGTTTCTAAATCATAATTCATAATCCCTAATTTTTCTTTTTTTTTTTTTTTAAAGTAACTCAGAAATCCGAATATAATGTATTTCATTCATTTTGAGAGTATTGACATTCTTTTTTTACAAATGCTTCCTAGTAAATCACATGAAAAGCAAACAAAGTGAATAAACCTGTAGGTTTTTTGGTCATACCCTGAGTGCTTCCCACGTCGTTTAATGACATAGTAACGGTTGGAAGATGGAGGTTGATCAAGAACCGGGATGAACAGAACCGAGTCATGGTAAGTCCTCCTCCTCATCTCTTCTTTCCTTGTGGACCCTTCGGGCGTTCTGGTGCGGTAGGTCACAGTCAGCTTCACGTTTTGTGGGAACGGTAAGCCTTTGAGTTGACCATCGTAGCAAGATCCAAAGCAACAAGTCGGCTTTGATTCTTCGTCTTGAATCACAAGTACGCCCGAGTTTGGACCTTCCGGCGATGATCGTGTCAAGTCCGACGAGTTTCTCTGGTATTCAGAGAGATGCCTTGTAACATACATCTTGAATTCAGAATCTTTCAGGTGTGATTGATTAGAAGAAATCCAGGAGATGTGATTTGTTTATATATAGAGAGAGCATCATGACTTGAGGAGATAAGCTAATTTTACAAGTTTCTGTCTAAAGACTTTTCAAAGATTTTGACTTTTATGGTTTTTTTCCACTTTTGAATTCCAAAGTTGAGAGATTTAGTTGGTTTCACAAAGTAACAGTCAAGCCAGTTCTTGATTCATTATATACAGAGTTTACATAGTGTTAAGCTTTATGTTTTGGAAGAGTGAGCTTATCGATGTGGCTTTTGTTCTCCTAAATTAATAAATTAATGGGATTGTATCTCCACTCGTTCTTTAGTAGTTGGTTTCTTCTTTTATATATTTAAACATTGTTGATTATAGAATCAAATATGAAGAGAAACTCGAGAAAACTTGTTCTAAAGTCACTGGGACCTATCACATTTATGTTGTTGTGTTTTATCAATGTGTTGTTAACGTGAATTTTAATTTTTTTTAGGTCACAACATATGTTGACTTTTGGCTGGTCAAAACTATGCGTTGACTTTTGGCTGGTCAAAACTATGCGTTGACTTTTTTGAACTTGGATCAAAAACCATCAAAACTTTCATATAATAAGATAATCTTCAAAGCTTAGTATTTCTAGAATAATTTTCGTGTATTCCCTCATGCATAAATCCAAAACAAAAACATTATACAAAGTTCTACATAAATCCACCTATCCCGATCAAACAAAGACAACAATGAATAATAATAAGGAATAACATCACCGAGCCAACAGGTCCATATCGATCATTCGCCGTGTCGATCCAACGATTTGCACCAAAAAAAGAAGAAGGAAAAACATTACCCTTGAGGTTTCTTTTCAAGCTTCTTTACGCGTGATCCTGTGGACAACAATAGATAAAATAACATCAATTTATTATGTTTTTAATACAAGAGTATAGACCTTTCTCAAAGGTTTTGATCGAAATTTTCACCTGAAGCAGTAGATACCAAGAGCCTCGGTGATCTCATGGATGACCGATGTCGCAAAGTGCAAGTATAATGACACTGTTTTGCATCAATACAGCACATGGTTAAGAGCGCGAAAAATACTGACTAATAAAGACCAAAAAAAGTAAGGCTTTTTCGTTTTAGGAGCAAACCTGTGAAGATGCAGTAGCCAAGAAGAACCCATAACTCGTCTACTAGAGGAACCCTGAAAGATGAAGATTTCTCTGGTTTTGAATACAAAAGAAAACGATGAAGGTTGTGCAGAAAATGTTAAGATTAGTAAATAAAACATACCCAGCATTTAACCTCGCAGTTAGAGCGTTTGCAAGTGCAAAAGGAAGATAGAGTAGAGACTGAGTTTCGAATAAAAAAGATTTCATAAGGTTACATTTCCAAAACCAGTAAGATTGAGAAATTGGCGAGAGAAAAATTTATCGGATTTACCATGCACATGTTTGTTTTTAGTCCTTTCGGCTCATCACACAGGTGAGCAAGAATCATTCTTCCCTGAAAAAGAAAACAACAATTTTACAACTTTTTCGGAATGCTTGTAAGTTGTAATATTGATCTAACTTAGGAGTTTGGAATCAATACTCACCACTAGAAATCCGAATGCAAGTCCAGTTCCGAGTACAACTAAGTGAGGGTATGTTGCTATGAGATTCATTGGAGACAAGTAATCCCTGTAGAAAATATGATCCAAATAATTTTCAAAGACGAAAGAAAGAAAGATCGCAAGTCTTTTCAAAAGAGCATCAAACATGACTTACCATAGCAAAACTCCTCCAAGAAGAATGACGAAAGGATACAGCTGCATCAGAGAATCAAACAAAACATTAATTTTGCAGCTTTAGTATATATATATTGATAAGTCAACTGGTTAGGAGATTACCATAGCTAATGCTAACACCATGCTCCCTTTTCTTGCTTGAACAACCTTGTAGACATTTGACACACTGCAAAATGCAACCGCATATGAACCAGCTTAGAAAATAGGAACTTCACAGCTTAAAAAGGCCATTAATTGATTACTAAAGAGTATTCTTTTTCAATTATATAACATTGCTTTCGTTTTTGGGAAAGAAATACTGAATCATGAGAAAAGAAAAAAAAAACTGTTCTTTCTTCGAATCTTCACCTATTTCACAGAACTTGAGTATTATTAGTGTCATCTCACTTCCTATAGCCTAAGAGCAGATTACCACATATAGTCAAGTTTGGAAGACTTACTTGAACGCGACGGTTGGTATAACAGCAAAAGCGATCATCATGTATAGTACCGCTCTGGAAGTTTGGATCGCTAAAACAGAGAACTCAAAAATTAGTCAAGAAAGCAAAGAGAGCAACGGTACAAGAAAAATTGAAGTGAAAACAATGTAGGAGGTCTTTTTACCATTCACAAATGGCAACCAACTAAACAATGGTATGGACTGTCCCAACTGCTGAGCCCACCATTCAGCACCTTTAGAACAGAAAATGAAAAGATCGAGCGGAAGTAAAAACCAAATCCAAGTATAGAAATACATTGGTCCGAAATGAAATGCTAAAAGATCTGCCAGACATTCTCAATAACGGTAAAGTATTCAATGATTGCAGACAAGAAAGAAGCATACCGACAATAGCTGTGAAGAAGTGGCTGACGAATATTAGTGCAAGACCTTCTGTAGGTCCATTGATGACCGGAAGAATAAGTGTGTTGGTGAAATAACTAGAGAAGAGCAAGTAAAAGTATTAGAAAGTCTCTTAACAGTTTTCCACAAATAATAATGTGTTATGAGACATAAGCAGTAAGTTAGAAGCAGGACTTACTGTTCCCATGTAGCTCCATAAAACGGAATAGCAGAAATAACCCAGAACCAGAAAGTATCTCTTCCACACATTGCAGTGCTTCCAAATGCCATGGCTTCGAACTGTTTTTATTGTAAACCTTCAGCATCGATTCCAGGAATGTAAAGTAGTAAAGAGAAAGTATTGTTAGTGCATACCGCACAAGCAAGTGCATCACAACCTGCCAAATAGAACACATGTCAGCAAAATCTAGAAACAAACTGAAGACAAATAATCAAAAGCGGGAGACATTGGAAAGATGAATCACCATGATCGAAAAGTTCTCCTAGGGGGCTAGAGGAATTCGTCCTTCTTGCTTGCTTCCCATCAACCGCATCGAATGTCTAATAAAGCTCAAAAGGTGTCAGGGAAACAAAGACTTCAAACACATTCACAAGCAGATAGATAAGAAAGTTGGACTTTTGAAGAAAGAGAGAGACGCAGACCTGATACAAGAATAGAAGTAAACCATGTGCGAAGTGAACCCATCGTGGAGGAGGAGAATCCAACTGAGGTGAATATATCTGAGACGGATACAAGAAAAGTGTCTTCAAAATCAAATCCATATGCAAAAAGGGGACATATTACCAACAAGAAAACTACCACATGCTTCAAGACACTATAGAACAAGACATCAATGAATCAGATCACTCACGTAGCCTAGCAAGGAAGATGTGACTAGAAACATGAACCCCATAAGCGTTATCTGCAAAACAATACAACACAAAGCTACAAGTTTTCACTTAAAAATACTGACGATACCACATAAAACAAAATGGAGAAATAGAAATTACTATACCATGTTTGGTCTGGATATGGTCCAAAGGCAGTAACAGAGAAAAAACACACGAAAAGACAAGTAAGAGTAAAACAAAAGTCAGCTTCCTCAATTTAACCTCATCAAGTAAAACTAAAACCAAAAGGGAAGACTTTTATACTGTATTAAATAGAGACACTTACGGCATCCATAAAGGGAAGACTTTGACAAAACGAGTCCAAAAAGGTTGAAGCACGTATTTGGCAAGATAAGAGTGATCCACTCCACTGTATTTGTACCTATGAAGAGCTGCTATTCCATGTGCTCCTATGTAACCCATTATCGTGTCTATTGCTGATCCAAAACAAAAACCAATATTTCCTCAGTTCTAATTCCCAAAATGGGTATTGAATTAAAACTAAAAGACATGAAAGCATGGATCTTGAGGGTCACACTAGCACTTTGCGGATTCCCTAACGCTAAATCAAGAAATTAAGCATAACCCCATTCTACATAAGAGCAAAATTTTACTCCAACTGAGACGGAGGGCCTTCGAGATTTGGATAGAACCTAAAATTTGGATCTTTTGCTAAAAATATCGATCAAGAGACGAGCACTTACGACGGTTCCTGTGATTCTTGGCGGCAAAATCAGAGACGAGCCTTTCGAGTATTGGTGTCCGAAAAAAGAGAATATAGAGACAGAGAGAAGAACGAAGAATGTCTCTCGTGCCCTAAAGAGTGGCGACGCGGGACGAGAGGACCAGAAGCAAAAAGAGAGGACTTTGCGTTTCTTCCGCGTTTCCCACACGTGTAAACGATATTTCGTATTTCTTTTTTTGGTAACAGATATTTCCTTTTTCTTCTGATTACATGTATTTCATTTTTGTTGCAAAACAACATATCAGTTTCAAGTTTCAACGGTGTTAAGGAAATAGAAGTAAGTACCTCACTCACTAGCTTAACTCTACCTTGTGTAATGTGGACATCTGTTATGTATGAATCTCACATAAAATGAGTTTTTGGGAGTTCGAAGAATAAAATTTTAGCACATCAATAAGTAAATCACCGGAAATAGGGATTAGGGAATGATAAATCCAAACAGGTGTAATCTTTAAAGCGTTTTAACAAAGGAGAAAGAAAAGCATTTTAACAAAGGAGAAAGAAAAGCACTTTAACAAATGAGAAAGAAGGTTGTCAAAAAAAAAAGAAAAAAACAAATGAGAAAGAAGAAATATCAAATTCTCTGCAACAATTATGAACTCTTTTACCACCTTTGGTCAACTTACATTAGAACTTCACATCCATCATTATATCCAAAACCCTTTTGGGCAAAAGTACTACGGATTCAAGTTCAACACTACTCCTTTTTTTTCACATCTTACCAACAAGATTTACACCAAACATATTCAAAAATGAACAAACACAGAGAGCCAAAGACTCAATCTTGAAGGAAGAGAAACTTTGCTAGAGGAGAAACACGAGGGAACTTAAGCAATTCAACAATCATATCCATTTTCGCATCTTTATCTGATAAACTCGATGTTACAATGACTGTCTCCAAAACTGGAGAAGTTCCCAGCAAGAACCTTATAAACTCCAACTCATTCCTGATGCCAGAAATGTCTGTCATCCTCACGGTTTCAAGTCTCGGGAGTTTGTAGTCGAAATAATCTCTTTCTGCAATGTCAAAAGCTTCTTCTTCTAGAGGAAATAGTTGGATTGGTGAAGCCTAATAAACCCCAAACGAGATTACAGAAGATGATGAACTGGAGAACAGCAATTTATGGCCACATTACAAAACTTTGAAAGCGAGAGAGAGAGTTGACATACCGATACTTTGAGATCTTTAAGGTTAGGAGAGTGAGTGACCAAACGCAGAAGAACTAGTACCTCATTAGCATCTTCAAAGCTTACTTGGTAAAGTTCTATAGTCTTAAGATGAATGTAAGTAATTGGAAGCCTTCCCGGGTCATCTCCTATGCTCAAGTACTGAAATCAAAGAAAACAGATATATATATATATATTTGTATACCATTTTTCATCAGCCAGAATTTCCCAAAGTATTAGGATGAAGCAAAAGCTACCTTTGTGAAGTAGATATAACCAACGAGCTTCTCAAGAAGGGGCACACCACCAAGGAACTTAACTAAATTATAATCAGAACTCTGCTCAAAATCAGTAACATCCTCATGCATGTACATTGAAACCGAAATTGCAACCAGCTTGGGTGTATTCTCTAGGAAAATGTCTTTGAATTCGCCGTCTAGATACAAGTACATGAGATTCGGAGCTGATATACTCAAAACTAAACTGTCAAAGTAAGACAAAGACAGGGACTCGAGCAGCGGACATCCCGAGATCAGACTCTCAATCACCTCAGGAGCAACTAGGATCTGGTGAAGGTTAAGACTCTTGAGAGACGAAAACCCTTTGAAATACTGAGGCGGGTCAAACTCGCAGTGACACAACTCCAAACGGGTCAGTTTCAAACACCTGAAGAGACATGAAGGAACCCTGAATTCTCCTTCTCCTAACTCAAGAACAAGCTCCTTAATCCCATTCCTCGAGAGGAAAAGCAACCACTGATCAATATCTGGACGACATTGTAAGAATGTAGTAGAGAGCTGAAACTTGTGGATAGGTCCTTGGTGAAGAAGAAGCACTCCGCTTATGAATCTCACGAGATTGTTCACAACTACGCCACGATCATTAGCAGGAGCGACGCATTTTTCATCAAACACAAGATCAGTGAGCGTTGACCATTTGTATCTCCATTTGCTAGATAACACGCTTGTTCTTATCGCATCTCTTATCGAAAGGCGAGTAAGGATGTTCTCAATTATGCTCTGAGGCAGATCGCTTATGATATCCGTAGATTCCCCCATCTAATAAGATCAAACGCATAAGGATCAAATAGTAGAATGATTTCAAGGACCAGTAAACAGAGAGAAAGAAAAAAAAAAAAGTGATTGCATTTAATTTCAAACTAGAAAAATTAGAAGAAATTGGCCTAAATCAGAAAACAACAAATCCGATTCCCAGAAAACCACTCTCAAAACCTTAAACCCTATATCCGCCTTCTGAAATCACCGACAAAAATCCAGCCTTGATATAGATTGCAGTGCAACAAAGGAAAAACCCGGAATTGATTAACCCAGAAAGAAAAAACCAAACCTTCTGGTCTCCTTTTCGTGGGTTTTCTCGAGCGGTGAATGAGAGGGTCGTTGATCGGTGAAGTTCAGAGAGGGAAATGCCAAAAGATCACAGATTCTGCTACCATCATCGTTTCACTTTGATTTTCTAATACCTTTGCGATTAAAGCAGTATTGGGCCGAAAGACTCTTGTTTTTCTTCTAACCTCGCATTAAAGATCGCGCGTTACATGACATGATTAATAACTTCTTTTTTTTTTGGTCTGAAAGGTGCACATACACTGTCTGATACACATTACTAACAAATTAATAATTGAATAATACAAAAGCATCATTAAAATAAAATTGTAAAATAGATTTGGAATATATTTTTGTGAATGATGTGCACTTAGAAGTAGGATTTGTCTTACGGAATTGTAATTAAACTAGGAATTAAATTAAGAACATCAATCAGTCGTTCTCAACTCGTTGGAAACTTGAATCCAAATTCAAATGAACAAATTTTAGTGTTTTGAGTGTGGGTTTTATTCTCTTGTTTTCTTCGTTAAGCTAAAACTCGCTGGGACCAAATTGAAACGAACACTGGAATCACTTTCCTCTTTGATAGATTCAGATATTTAATTTATTTACTTGTGATTCATATATTTTATTTTCTTGTGATTCAGATTTTAAAAACAAAAATACAGATATCGAATTTGTTCAATCTACAACAAATTTCTCTTTGATAGATTCAGATATTGAATTTGTTCCAGATTAAATACAAAAAACAAAAAAAAAAATCTGGTATTGTCAAGAGAATACAGCGTGACCAATCAATCTTGGTGCTCATCTTCACCTTCAGAATCTGCAAAAAGAACAAAAGACACAACTTTGAAGATCAATTCTTGATTTTGATGGCGCGAAAGTCTCGATTTTTATCACAGTAAACCAAACTTACCGGATCTAACATCTTCGCTAAGCTTGCCTCTATCTTGTATTTGTTTCACAAGCATCCGATACATCAGAACCCACCAATAAATGTGAAGAACAAGCAAGCAATAGAGAAGTGTGTTGAACATATAGTAGTAAATTGGTCCGTCGACAGGGTGCTTATCTTTTTCCAGTTCCAAAACTACTTCATAGCTGCAACAAACAATGTGTTATATAAAAGGGGAAACATTCAAAAGAACAAAACAAACCTTAAGAGGGATATCGATACATAATACAAACCTTGTGCTCCATAGGATCCAAAAGGGATAGTAAATAAGTCGGAGAATGATCCAAGACATGACAAAAAGAATGAAAGAAAAGCTTGCGATTGCTTCAGCTCCACTATATTTAGACATTTTCCCGACTTCAAGAAACACATCACTTGCATCGTGAAGTGCCAGAACAACAGAACCAACACGTGAGAAGCTATTTCGATAGAAACAACAAACAAAAATAAACCAAAAGAAGATCAAAACAATGTGGATCCATTCTATTTCCTCAGCATAGACAAGGATGTGAATATGGAAGCATTACCTACACACGTATGAGAGGACAATAAGAATAAGAGTTGCGATATGATGACCCATTGAAACTCCAAAATCAGAACGCCTCGTTTCCCAGAATATCAGAGCAAAGATGGAGTATGTATAGAACCCAGCCGCAAACATATACAAAAGCTTCAACTTTAACCTGCATGAGACAGATTTATATTATTCCACAAAACCGACAAATGGATAGTTTTGATAGAAAAGCAAGGCCTTGACAACAGTCTTACTTGGTTTGTTGATCAGGCCAAGACTGATCTCCAGGGCCAACCCAAAAGTATTTAGTGTTCATAAACCATGGTTCATTGTAAGTCACAGATAGAGCAAGAATCTCAGCTGACAGATAGTAAACACACTTCCAGGCCGATTCTTTGAATTTTCTGATTTTCTTCTTTCTCTCAGTTGCATCATCTCCGATATTCTGTCTCTGTTTTCCATAGATCAAATGTTTCGCCAATTTCTACAAAACAACAATCACCAAGTTCAAGTTAAAGAAGAGATGATTAAAGAATCTCAAAGCAATTTCCTTTAATTTAAAAGGAACAAAAATAATAATAATAACATAAAGAAATGCGAGTTTCACAAAACAGTAGCTGTCGTAAGACTAAAATTACCTCGAAGACGAATCTATCGAGGAGAAATCGAATCGAAGGGAAGAACACTGCGAAGAGAGGAAGAACACGAAAATCCTGGTAAACCGGAGGCGATTCGAGTTCCCAATTAATCGATTTCACCGATTCGAACAAACCCATCTCCGAATTTTTTTCCCTCACTTCAAACCGATTTTCTCAGATAAACAACCAGAAAATGTACATAGAGAAAAACTTGTCGAGTTTCTTCTTCCTCTGTATTTCTGGAGATAAAAAAAAGGGATCTCCTTTATTGGATCAGTGGGAGCTTAAATGCAAGTTGAAGTACAACTCCAACTCCCAATTTGGTTGATTCTCACCAACCATGAATTCAAAAGACTTGGATCAAATTGCTCTAAGAAAAATTATGCTAGTTATTCTTCAAAGCTGAATCTTTTCTTCCTCGAAACTTCTGATTCGTTTAGAGTCTCCACCACTCTCAAAGATGACAACTTGTGATTAGTTGAGTTCTATTTGCTCTTTGACATTGAATTATACTATACAGAAACAGTTTTATCCGTCAACGTATTAGTTTGCTCCGTCTATTGTCACTCGAAAGGCTTTTAAATCCTACTACTGTAGTTTACAAAAAAAAACTAATTTGTATGATATTAAAAAATGATTTGTTCCTTTATTTACGTCAAATAATGATTTTTTTATAGATATGTTAATTGCAGATATAATTGTATAATTATTGCATGGTATCACCGTATGAAAATAATGATTCGTTTTTTTGGGGTCTGAGACATAATTATGTTAACTGCAAATATAATCGGATAACTACTGTCGACTACAGAGTATCACCGATGAATATAAAATGAAAAACGAAGGATGATGATTAGAATATTCGGTGAATTAATTCGTCTCATTATTGTGTTTCACACTTGTTAACGCTTTGTCGACACATGCTCGCTCGTCGGACGTCGGTGATTATAGTACTTAAGCCTTCTCTTCTCATTTTTTATGGGTTTAACCGTTTAAACTTAAAAAATATATTTCTTCTGTTCAGAATTATTTGATGTTTTAGAAGGTTTTTTGTTTAGAATTATTTGATGTTCTCACTTTTCAATGCAAAATTTAATGAATTTTTATAGTTTTTAACCTTTTATATTCTGCAGATTACCTTCTTATTGACTGAATGATATTTAAATAGATTATAAATAATATTTTTAATATAGAAAAAATAAAAATTAAATGAATCCTAAAACTGTGTGTAAAAATTTTAAACATCAAATAATTCAGAACAATGAAATATTATACTGTTGTTTAATATTTTAGTTTTAAAATATATATTTATCACATTTATGTCGAATTTCATAGTTTGAAAGTAGTCCATGATGTTTAGATATATTGAAAGTCGCATTGAAACAAGAATTGGTGACGTTTCCAAGGAGAAATGAAAGCGTTGACCCCAAGATGCCAAAGTTTGACTTTCTTTCTCTCTCTTTATCTGCTTCATCGATCTTTCCTTTCTCTTCATGAAACGCCCATTTCTCTATACAGCATTTATGATCTATCCAGCCGCATCTTTTATTTAATAATAACATAATAAAGTCAAATATCTCTGTTTAGTTAATTATCATCTATCTAGATGGAGTCTAGAAAGAACACTTTATTTTACTCTTCATATCTTTGAGAGAAGAGGAAGAAAAGAAATGATGAAGAAGAAAAGTAAAGTGTTGATCTTCTTCTTCACTCTAATTTTGCTTTTAAGCATGGCTTCAAGTGTTGTTCCAAGAGAAAATGGTTTTGCTCCTCCTAAACCATCTCCATCTTCCTCCTCCACACCTGTAAGCTCGCCAATACACTCATCTTCTTGTATATTTTCTGTAATGGGCTAAAGGTTTTGATATATTGCACAAATATTTATAGTATATGATCATATCTAGTTTCACTTGAGTACTCAATTCTCTTTAGCCAGAAGGTTAGATAGAGATTATACCTTCAGAAAACATAATCGTATAAATGGTTTTGTATATAATATCAACATAATACCTTTCTGTTTGAATCCAAAAAATTATTCAGCAAGAAGAAAATCGTCTTTTTTTTTTCGGTATCAGCATATTACCTTTCTATTTTAGTCAAAAATATAAATATTGGCAATAACTTAAATGTCTTATGAATAGTGAAATGATGGAATATATATTGAAATAATAGAACAATGGAGACATTTGAGCAGAACAATATTTTCTACTGAATAATATCACGAAATGTTGAAGAAAATTGTAAATTAATGATTTGCAATTCTTTTTAGTTGTATTGTTACCTTGTGCATCATATATAATGTAAAAAAAAAAAAGGTAAAAACGTAAAATTTTGATTATATTATGAAAACTAATCGGTATATCATCCATCACCATATGTATTTATGAAACAACCACTTTGTCGGTGAAAAATAGAAAACTTATATTTGAATATGTATATGCTGTGAACTGTCATATGAATAATCAACTATTGGTTACAACTTACAAATCAATTTCGGATACCAAAAATTCATTGACATACAGAATAGAAATGAATAGCTTTGGGTGATTAAGCGCGGTAGTTTTACAGTTTTTTTGGTGGATCTAGGAGAAAGAAAGAAGTGGGAAAGGTGATGGAGATGGATTAGAATGCAAGAGTTCAGACAGTGAAGAAGAATGTCTTGTTAAAAAAACGGTAGCTGCTCACACTGATTACATCTATACACAAGACATAAACCTATCTCCTTGAAACAGAACAATTACCTTTTGTCTTTTATTTAGCACAAACTATAAGCATAAGCAAAGTCGTATTGACAATGTGCTCATAACGTCATGT